TTTTGTTTTGACGTCAAAAACACTGACAATTTCATGGGGATTGTTTATCAGTAAATCTAAATCACGGAAAATTCTCAATGAATGTGTACTTCGACATAATTGTCACAGATCTATAACCATTAGGATATGTACTTTCCAATGACATGAACTATTGGACATTTAGATATCAAACAAGGGCGCTTACTTGACTTTACTTGCCACATTTAGGTGCTTCCATATATTACGACTAATGTAGAATAGTAGGAAACTTACAATACCAGTATTTTTATTGATGGGTATATAGGCAGTTTATAGATCTTTTGGATTTGTTGGCTTTAGATACCTTTTGGAAAGATTATCAACTAAAATGTTTGCATTGCTAATTCATGATATTTCATTATGTATTACTTGAACATGTTGAAATACAACCAAATTATATAATGTTTGATTTGAAAACAATGAAACAATGGCAGACGTTTCTACTTGTGTAACCTATTTGAAAGTGATGTGTTTTCATCAAAATAACTCACTATATAATGACCAAGGTATGTAAACAAACTAATGCAAAAACATTTTACAATGTTATAAAAGCCAATCATTGTCATCTGTTGTTGCTGTGTACCATAAAATAAGATTATTTTTTTATCACAAAATTAACAGCACATCACGGCCTACCTCGCCAAAAAATCAAGAAGTCATCAACACTTCCTGCCTTCAGCCCTCGCCACTTCTTTCCTTTTCCTCTTGTTCCTTTCCTTGGTTGGCATTGTGAAATAACAAGCAAATAATGGCGAGAGTCATCTGTTTAATTTGAAATCAGATTACATAATTGTTCTTAAAACAAATAAATCCTATTGCAAAGGAAGGGAACTGTATTTCTTCCTCAAAATCCGGACAAACGGTAAATGCCAGAAAAGGCAGGGCAGGCATAAGAAAAGGGCAGAGCACAAAATATAAATTGCAGGTGGCTGCGCCCTGATAAACATCTCTTGGGGAAACTCTAGTACTAATTACAAGAGGCCTCAGTTCATTACAACTAAAGCTATTATCCATTCCACTGGCAAACCACCACTGACACCTACCATCACGTCCTTGTCAGTTGAGGAAGATGCAGTATCTGAAATCTCTATCATAAGTGATATGCGCATGGTTTTAGCAGTTAATGATACAGACCCATCTATTGTACTACCTCCCATGTCTGGCACATAAGGCATTCTTCTACCATCAGCTGGAAGTCGTCTATCATCACCTTCACGGGATAGCACAGTTCGACATGGAAGACATTGCCCTGCCACATTCTACCTCCTCTCTCCATGTTCCACCGGTTCTATTGACGGTGGATAATATCAACTCTTTCCATGCGACTTCCACATTGCCTACTGGAATTAGGAAGAGTAAGGAACGTTCCCCACCCTCATCAGACAGGTGAAAAATCACCATTCAAAGGAGCGCCATTCCATGGATCGACAGATCGGGAAGAAACACAAGGGTTGACATTCGCAGGGTCAATCTTCCAACGGTCACCATTCCAAGGACAGACTATCTAAGGATCAACCTTCTACCAATTGATCGTCAAGGGTTCGACCATCTGAGGATCAGCCATCAACCTCTGATCACCCTCATACTGAGCAGAGGTCTCAGGGAGATTGACGTCGCACCGATGAGGTTTACTCTACTGAGCGTCGTCACTATACAGATATCTTGTGGAGACTCATGGGATGTCCTCCATTTCATCTACTCCAGAGGTAGACAGGAATGTTGTGACTCCAATCTCAAGCGCTCTTCTAATACATCCATCATTGAAGACCGGCAACTGGCTCATCTTGATGTTACCATCAGATATATTCTGCCTTTGTTGTCTACCGTACTGTCAGTTACAGATACTGAAGCAGATACTGAAGTGTCAGTGGTCCATGCCAAATCATCAATGCCAAGATGTCAATTCACAATATGGACTTAATCATTCATCATCTGGGGACTGTTACCATATTACGTCCCATGGATGAGCACCATGATGTGAGACTATGTGATGCTATGATCGACACCCTATCGATTTAAGAAAAGAATACAGGAAGTCACACAGGAAACTCATCTACAGGTGTTGGTTGACCTCTTCGTCTGCTGAAGCAACATCTAGAGAAACAGCAGAGGTCCACAGTTTACTCAATCTCATCATGATCTCTGTGACGTCATCAGTGCTAGGACAAGTTCTTTTCATGGCAGAGTGTGCGGCCATTAATATGGCTTCAAGTCATCAGCACCAAGAACAGTTACGTTCACCTCAACAAAGTACTCTGGAGAGTCGTCTAATGGGGGCAAAATCTCCACCAAGTGACTCTTCTATAGGACGACTGGAACCTTCCACCTCCAGTCGTAATGGTATTTCAGTCCCTAGTAGGCTGAAGACTGCGACTCTTTGCAGCCAACTGGATTGTACTGGACAAGCTCTTCGTCTCTCAACTCCCCCAAGAAGGGTACCGGCTGACTCTCATCCGTAATTCTCCTATGATGTCCATACCACATCTGAGGGTTTATCCAGCCAACCAGTTGACAACGATACAGGAAACAATAGGTTTGTTGGTTTCCAGGCATCGCCTAGAGTGTTTCCCAGAACCGTGGATCTATTCACCAATATTTCTGGAAGCTGGTTCCCAATAGAATTAACCTTCCCCATCAATAACCTCAAATTCAAGGCGGTCAGTGTAGTGGTTTCCCATTGGGTAGAAGTTCTCTGGACATCACATCTCATGATCCAGTCCGATAACACCTCAGTCGTTTGATATATCAAGAGGATGGGCTCCACCAAATCAGAGTCCCTCTTGGCTCAGGCAATGGCATTTTTTCAGTTGATCAACTCTCTGGGCATCAAAGCCTGAGCTTAACACATTCCAGGGGCCAACAACGTAAAACTGACTCCCTATCCCATCTGGATTAGACCGTCCTGGAGAGAGTGGCATCTATATCCAATGATCTTCAAGTGGATATGCCGCTTTCACCATTGCCAAGAGATTTGACTTCAACACTCAACTGCACAGGTTCATCTCCTCCATCCCAGCATGGGAGCACGACACTTTGGCCATATTGTAGGAGGGTCTCAACGCTTATGCCTTCCCCCTGACAACGCTTCTTCCTTTGGTGCTTCAGAAAGATGCAGCCATGACACAGTTACGTCTGCTCCCAGTCATGCATTATTGGCCAGTTCGCATTTGGTTCACCATTCTGGTAATCCTCACAAGAGGAAAACACTATCTTCTTCCATTGCGAAGAGATCTTCTACTTCAACCTCCTTCCAGCCTGCTGCACCCATTGCCAGAAACCCCAACTACAGCTTTGTACATGTACAACCATAAATGGAAGGCTTTTGAGAGATACTGCCGTGGCAGGGACCTCATCTTGCCTGCTACTGCTTCACCACAACAAGTTGCAGAATATGTTCGGCATCTTTGATGTAGTAAGCTCAAGGGCTCCAAGTTGGCTACATTTCTGCCAGCTCCTAACTTGGTCACGGCAGGCACGAAAATGTCTACAGTTACTGAACTCTAGGCTCTCATCCACTCTTACAAACACGCTGACCAGTTGTTCAGAAACCGTCCACCTACCTGGGACCATCCCATTCTTGGCTGCCATCTGACACCCGGAGAATCATAAAGATATCTCTTTGTGTCCAGTCAGAGCTTTATGTATCTACCTTCAGGCTTCATCTACACTTCGCTGATCACCAAAGAGGCTCTTTGTCCCTCTTTCCTCAGCAGCCAACTAAGAGGTCTCCTGTATAATGGTCTCCATCTGTTTGCTTTCAACGATCCTCCACCTCAGACGTCTAACCCTTGCGAGACGAGAGCTGTCGCCTCCATGACAGCACTGCACAGTAACTATACCCTCAACACTATCATTGAAGGATGTTTTTCGAAGTCAGATGCGGACTTCACTTCCCACTACTTACATGATATCTCTGTTACCTATGTACAAAGCCTCCATCAATTTGGTCAGCTGGTCCTGGCACAACAACTAACCACAGTTCAACGACGCAGATAATTATACATGTACCTGCTACCACAGACTTGTACTTTGTATCTTGTACATAGTGAATAAATGATTGATGGCCAGTCCTGTTTATTATTAGCCAAACCCTTTCCATATCCAATAGAAATCTCTTCCTAATTGTACATCAGACTATATCCTAAGCATGTGTTTATGAATCACTATCAAATAGTAATGGTACCAGGTGTCCGCAAAAAGGTAAGCGTATCCTGCCCAAACAATGGCACAATCACAAACACATGCAAAGGCAAGTCAATTGAAAAACACTGGAACATATGATACAAGTCAAAATAGGTAATTGCATCGGACATCATTTTTGTCACTCATGCATAAAATTTGGAAACTAAAGGGCTAGGGTATCTGCAACCCACTGTCCAATTGTCATAGCAACTAATTTACCACACCCATTGTCTGAAGAACATTTAATTGTAAAGGCTCATTACCCTGGAGCCATGACATCTATATGTCTTGAAACACTTAATTGCTGTTATTTATAAGATGCTAATCCTAATTGTTAATTCCCATTTTTGTGTACATCGACCGTCTGCCATCCTGCTGATGAATTACTGTTTACATTTATATTTATTACTTACAAAATGTCAGGTGACCATGACTATATAAGCCTTGGTCCAGAGAGATTGAGAAGAAGGGAAAAAAAGAAAGGTCTTACCCTTAGCCTAGCTAGGGTTAGGCTGGGTGCTCCGGGGCACCTAGACAACAACCACTACCACTATGTGCTGACCTGGCACATAGTGTCTTTTGTATGTATATATCTACATGTATAAAGTAAAACTGTATATACCACAAGCCATCGTCTCCAAGTTGTCACTTCCTACTAAGAACTATACGTCGGCCCCTTGCATATACGAGTGTGCAAATTACTCATTAATCAACATCAGACCAACGCGTTGTTACAACCGTGGGATTAAATGCATTGTGTGTGATAGGATAAGTTTAACAATTTGAAAATTTTACTTCAGACTTTGGATGTTCTGAGTTTGACACTTCTCATGGAGCAGCTGGAACCAAGTAAGGATGAATTGAACACAGATAAAGGCCGATCAGACTGGATGGATCATGTCAAGACATATCTGCCTGTCATAGGTAGAATCCTCAACACTACAGAGACCGAGCTTGAACATGGCAATGTGTGTCTCCGGGTAATGGATCAGGCAAGGTAAATATCCTGTAAATCCAAATCATTTGATTTCTGCTCAATAAAAATATATGCCTCTATATATCTGCTCAGAACAAAGCTCTGATCTGTTCTTCCCTTCAATGCATGGAATTCAGATTTGAGCCTATGGCAACATCCTCTTGCTACTCCTCATCCTCTTTTCCCCTGTTGGGATTCAGGGTTAGAATTCATAACTAGCAATATTTGCTGATTTTTAAAGGTGACGTCATGGTTCTTGTGGTCAGACTCTGTGATTCGGTTTGGATTGTTGCTCATAATACCAATCACTGGATTGTCTGTACCAAACTAGATCAGTTAAAGGCTCCCATATATAGGGGACTGACCATTTGATATAATTGGGGGACCTGGTATTTTATCAAAAGATATAAATCGTCACCAAAAATTCTTGAAAAAAATAATCATGCTTCAGACTGTTGAAAAAAAGAAAGATTTGCCTGCCACATCTAATCTTGATAAAAAAATTCCAGTTGACATTCATAAATTCCCTTCCTTATGTTTTCATACTGACAGATGTTGTCTTTCCATCCTTTAAGCAACATATATTGCATATACTGCTCTGTGTGATAATCATGTTTCTGTTTTCCAAGATGTAATTGGATGCGAGTGATGACCCTTAAACTCTTTCTGGAGAGCTTCACTGGAATCAAGAAACTTGAGCTGGGAACAAAATATATGCCTTTGTGGAAGGTGACTAAACACATTTCAATCATTCATTGAATTTTAGACAAAATTGCTCCTTTTGATTGATTGCTGTCTATGCTGTTTTTTATGAATATATGTCATCCCTGGAATCACTATCAACCAGCAAGTAATATTACAATCCTTGGGTATCAAGATCATCATGTGTGTCCATCTATTTGTCCATATTCATTTTGTTTTCAGTGTATTAACTCAAAACCCATTCAATATTTTGCATATGTATCAACCAAGTATTAAAATGGTTCCTTTTGCTATATAATGCAAAAAAATAATAATATTATTGACAATTTAATAGAATCAAAATAGACGCGATGGACTTTTGAATGCAGCAGAACTAAATAACTATTGAGTATTTTTCAACATGACGTAAAACAGTTATAAAGCTAGCGTTGAAATAGTGTCTTTTGCCATTAAGGATTTTTGAAATATTACGTTTTCACATTTTCATTATTAGTTGACACCAGTTCATTAGGCTACCTCTAAAAAATTTCAAGTTCACTGAGAAAATTAACCAGTTGCCCTGGATGGGACTGCTGGTGGACTGAAGTCCACAACTTTCATCATAAGCTCAGTATCAGTTTTGCTGAGTCAACTACAAAAGAAATGTTTGGACCAAAACTTTAAAATTGTTCCCCACTGCATAACAATTGTCTTTACTTATTAGCAGCAGAATCTCTGCACTTGTACACAACAGATGCCATTCAAAATTAACATAATGTTTACTTTCAACAAAACCAGATGCTTGATCATAATTCTTAGGAATCCTCTACCCTTATTACATCATTGCCATAATCCTGTATTTTGGCTGCAATCACACTGAAACAAAACTTATAGATTTTCAACAGAAATCCTCTTCACTGTCAACTATACATAAGTAGTTGTACCAACAATAGCACTTTGCACTACAGCACTTTTCATGTGCAAAGGTGGGAAAATCCTCACTTCTTTCCTGTGTGTGCTAGAATAAACATCTCTGTTGCATAACTCAAGTACTTGGTTATTTGGTCACACAGTTTAAGTAGTCTGTTTTATCACTACTATAAGTATACTGAACCAAATTAAAAACTTCACACTCCTAAAATTTTAACATTTTGACCAGTTATCATTGTGGGCCCTTATTGTGTATTTAAACAGTAATGGCCACATATTGTCTTCAGATAACACCTGTTTTTGTGCAGGGGAATCGATCAAAATCATGTGCACAGCACTATAGTGGCAAAAGTGGTTTTTCACGTGCAATTAGTCACGTGGCCATAATACGTACCGCACGTGTTTTCAGCCATACTTGTTAGCAGTCATTAACAAAAACAGAAAAACACAAGAAAACAAAAGTCTTTACTGCCATTTGTCATGCCACGCCTTTCAAATGTGCAACATGAACGTGCCATCAGCATGTTGCAGACGGGAATGTCTGTAGCTGAGGACGCAAGGACGATGGGTTGTAGTTGACGGACTGTTTATGATTTACAGACGCGTCTACAGCAAACAGGTACCACCACTGATAGCCCAGGTTGACCACATGTGACGTCACATGCAGAGGATTGTCAGATTGTCTTACGTCACCTCCGTAACCGATTTTTGACGGCTACATCAACCAGAAATGAACTGTTTAGGGGTAGACTGAGTGCGCAAACTGTTCGAAACCGTCTGAGAACTGCTCACCTTCAAGCACGACGGCCATACTGCGGGCCATTTCTGACTCAATTACACAGACGTCAACGTCACTTGTGGGCACAGCGACACTTACAATGGACTCAGAGAAATTGGAATCAAGTTGTCTTCAGTGATGAATCCCGATTTGCTGATGGTAGGGCGAGGGTTGGGAGGCGCCATCATGAACGTTACGCCCAGTGTTGTGTACAGGAAGTTGACAGATTTCGAGGCGGAAGTGTCATGGTGTAGGGTGCTTTCTGTGGCAATGCACGTTCCAGGCTTCTTGTCATCCGGGGCAACCTCAACGCTGCTGCTTACCGCGACCAGGTACTGGCACCAGAACTTCTGCCTTTTATGGCAGCACATGGACCCGGTTTGATCTTCCAACACGACAATGCCAGACCCAACACAGCAATTTTGACAAGGAATTTCCTTCAGAATGCGGGAGTCAACGTCATGGACTGGCCGTCAAGGTCTTTCGACCTCAATTCCATCGAACACGTCTGGGATGCTCTTGGCAGAAGTCTGCGCACTCTCCAGAACCAACCACAGAATTTGCAAGATCTTGGCACCATTTTGCAGCAACAATGGCGTCGTCTTCCCAATCACGTGTTCACAAGCATCACAAGGTCCATGCGGAGGCGTTGTGTGGCAGTTGTCAATGCACATGGTGGCCATACACGCTACTGAACTTGTGTGCCATCAGATTCTCGTGCTTGGGACTTGGGATTTAAAAGTTGATGTTATTACCGAATACTGTAGGTGCTTGGAACAAATTATGGTTACCACCGTTAATTAAAATCCTTCTTTTGACATTAATGATTAAAAATTACCTTCTCTGATACATTTGTCTGTTGTATATCATATATGGGATTACTTTTAAAAATGTGAAGTTTTTAATTTGACTCAGTATTGCTTTGGGTTACATCTTAGGGGCATATTTCACATGAGTATGAGTAGGTTTTTGGTCTGTTTTGATTACTATTATGGCATCTTCTGCTTCACCTTCCGCACCTTGTCAGGTGCTTATTGGCTCTGGGGATATGCATACTTCATGCTGGAAGTGCAGAGATATTACATGCACCGAAGAACATTGCTGTGAGCTCTGCAGTCTCCTCATGAGAAGGCCTTCTCCAAACTATCAGACTCAATCAGGCCAGGAGAAAAGAAGTGTCAAAGAAGGAAGTGGATGCCATTATGTTGACTGACATGTCGCCAGCTACACAAGAAATCTCGTCACTCCCTACTTCCCCAAGACACCACAATCATCAAGCCAGCTCAAGACCCAATGACCATGATGGAGCACCCAACAAAAGTCTTCCATGGAAAGCATCTTTGAATCCCGTTTGTCAGCTGTCTATGGAAATAGAAATGCTTTACTATATGTCTGTGGTCACTGATTTGACTTGACAACCGTACAGTTCCTGTAGGGGATCATCAGCTGCAACACGTCCTTCAGCTTACCTACATGGCTCCCACATGGACTCATATCAACACAGGGGGCACGGGTGGCCCAGTCGTTTAAGGTGCTGCGATTCGCTTTGCAGAGTTGTGTTCACCAAAGTGGTTAACATATGAGACCTGCATCACTTTTGTCTTTCCTCCCACATTAAGCTGAAAGAATCATCTCAAACCTTCCGTAGACCTGCTCACCCACAACAACTTGACTCCTATTTGTCAGTCTGAAACCAAATGACTTGGATCCAGCTGATGAGGATTCAAGTCAGGAGGATGACTCTACCCCTGTACCTACTACCTTCATAGAGCCTTTCAACTTTCGCCCATGGATCTACTATTACCACAATGCCATATACTTCCGACACTGAATCCAGTGGGAGGTCGATTACTTCAGTTTGTATCCCATCCCTCCGGTCACAGATTCCGTCTGGAAGGAGCCAAGTAAGACACAGCCATCAAGGCCAAACTAGACAAGTAGGTCATTCGGGAACTGCCAGAGACAGGAACCACATTGGGCTTCCATTACCAGGTGTTCTTGGTTCGCAAGAAGAATTCAATCAAAATGAGAATGATCATAGATCTCAAGGTCTTGAACAAGCACTTCTTGATATCTCCTCTAAAATTCCAGATGGAATCTGTCTGGAAACTACAATGTCAAAGAAATTGGCTCTTCAGCATCGACCTTCAGGATGCGTATCTTTTCACATACATATTCATCCTTCGTCCCAGAGATATCTAAGTTTCGCAGTCAATGGTCGTCATTTTTAGTTCCTGTTCATGATCTTGATAGGCCCCATGGTTATTCTCTAGGATAATGGCCCCAGTAAATCTCTGTCCTTTAGATGATCGATTTTCCTCCACTGTCTCAGCCACATCTTTGAATCAGATGGTAGCAAATAGACTACACTACAGGTCATGACCTACAGGGGCAGGCTGCAGTTACACCCTCTTCATTCCTGGATCAACAATATACATGAAATATCCCTCAACACCCTAGTGTCCCTTCCAACATACGTCTCAATATGGTCTGGTGGACCCATTGAGATCATTTAATGTATGGCATTCTACTCATTTATACTCCACTTGCCCATCAACTGTTCTTGGATTCCTCGGGCTCAGGATGGGGAGCCTTCAGATCCAAGGTTCATGGACTTCAACAGAGAAGAATCTTCATATGAACTGCTGGGAAATTTATTTATGCTCTTTGATCCTGGAAGGATCTTCTCTTTGAGGTCTAGTTGCCACCAACAACACCACAGTGGTGACATACATCCAGAAACACAGAAGAACCTAATCCCTTTTGTTGATGATGGAAACTTCAAGGCTATTTGCCTTGGAAGACTCCTGCAACTGCCTGATGAAAGTAAGACATGTACCATTGTAACTGAATATCCAAGCAAAAGTTTACAGTGAAAGGGCAGGATGGTGTCCACTGAGTGGACTTTTCAGCTGGAAGTCTTCAAATGGATCTTGTCAATGTGGGACACACCACTTCTGGACTTACTTGTGACTTGTCTGAGTCACCTGCTTTCCATTTACTTCTGCCCCATACTGGATCTATTGGAATTCCAACAAGATGTTCTGTCCATGAACTGGATAGGTCTCTTCGCTAATACATTCCCTCCCTCCCTAGACCAGGTGAAAGGGAAAATAGAACCATCAGTTTCTATGATCATTCTTTTGGAGTTTTTGCACCAATCTGGCCCAGCTTTCTGTGGTTTCCTAAAACCCTCAATCTTTACCACTTCGCTGAGTCATCCCAGGTCAGACATTCTGTTCAACAATCTCAACAGTCTACATTTAACCGCTTGCAGAAGATGCAGGCCTCTGGATTCTCTAAAGCTGCCTCATCCACTCTTGCACAATATTGGATACCTTCATCCTTTCTTTATACAACAGATTAGACAAGTTAATCCAGTGGAGAAAACAATCAGGTTTAGAAGATAACAAGTCAACATTGCAATGGTTGCTGATTCCTTCCTAGATCTGTGACAAGATTTATAGGATACAAAACACGTTCCCCTTACAAAGCAAAATTATTTCATGAGGGGCATAAACTTGATATGAATAGGGAATGAGTAAAACACCCCCCAAAAACATTTTTTGCATTCTCTATTTAAGAAGAGATATTCATAGTAATACAAGTGCTTGGTCAATTAAGGTATAAAAACAACAAAGATAATATAAACACTTTGAAGTAAAATAACTGTTTATTCAACTTTTTATTTTCATTTGTATAAGTTTATAAACAGTATTTCTAAGTACTTATATAACGTTAACAATTTGAAAATCTATCACTTGATATCTCAGTCTGGTGGCGGTCTCGCCACAGTTCAGGCCATGGCAGGTTGTCACAGACTGAGTAAGGCTCTTGTTTGAGTAATGTATAACAAGAACAAGACAAGATAACAACTTCATGAACTAGAATTAACAGGAACATTCAAGACACTTTTTGAATGGCATTGCTGTTTATGCAAAGGCTAAATTGCATCCAAAGACGAATCACTGATAATTATTTGGCAGCGTTTAATTGAGACCAAACACGTCATCTGGTCATAGTGATCATGTGCATGACCCAAATCAATGCTGATGTGGAAAACACCACCATATATAGGACCACAAAACACATTGCCAACAACTTCGAAATTGGTAGATTTTATTCCAACTCTGCTTTGACTTAGAGTGTTGTTTACATGTGAGTTAGGCCAACAGCTGATCGAAGAGGGAATATGGGTCATGGATGGAGATATGCGGTGTGCATGTACTGGCCAAAGATACCACAGGCATGGAGCGTGACAAGTGGATCTTGCTCATTTATTGTTGTTGTTTGTCAGCCAGTTGCATAAGAGTTGACAGAAGCAATGTTTTTTTGTGTCCAAACACTTGCATAATGTGTGTAGGTGTGATGTTATCATTAAGTGTTTTAAGTTTGCTTGCTGGACCATGTTTTTCATGATGACTCCATGTTCATTCTTTTCCGCACTGGCTGAGTGTTATACTAAGCCTCACCAACTCAGGGAATCCCCCCTAGTGTGCAAAGCCAAATAGAAGGGGTGTTCTGAAGAGGAGAAATTTGTAGGTCGCAAGATTTTGTACTTCTTGTAGAGTGCTATAGGACATCGATCAGGGCCATTGGGTGCAGACCATATGCAAGGAGCAATGTTTTTAACATCAGTTGGATTGCAACCTGTTCGTGTTTTAGTCTGTCTCTCATTGTACTCAAGATCTTCTTGACCATCACTATCGGTCTTCAGGGCAACATCCCCCCCAATCCTATTTCTAAGAGTACAGACAGAATGAAAATATGGTGTTATTCCACCACTAAGTGTTAAGAATGAAGTCGGTGGTCCCCATGTTGACCAGTTTGTTTTTTTTAGTTTGAGTCACAGCTTCATCAGCTTTCGGTAAGTTCCCTTTGCCCACACATTTGACATGTTTTAATTTTGACATAAACAGCTCTGTTGTCTGCTTCCTTGATGATGTCATCATCCAGGAATTTCTGTATTTCATTTTCCACTTTCCCTCTGAGGTCAAAAGCCATATTGTGATGTCTGATAGTAACAGGTTTTACTGTCTTTTCTGTGTACTTTTTAAGTCACTCCTTTTAAGCACCCCTTTTAACAGGCTAGAGAATCTAATGCCTGGAATATCAAATTCAGTGTGATGTTGTGGGCCTGCAGGTGGGTTGCATCCAACGCTGTTGACAATCTTTTCAAGTTTTAATTTTTTTGAGGTGTAGAATCCGAGCAGTGAGCCATGGTTTCCTTTCACAATGTAAAACTTGTGACATTGTATGAGTGAGTTTTCTTCTTAGTCTAGCTGATGCCCCATGTTGTATCAACTGTGACAGTGTTCCCTATGTCAGTGTCATGGCATTCACATTTTTTAAATAGTTGTCTCAGTTCTATATTCGCCAAGCAGATGATGTGATTATTATTTCCTGTTTCGGAAGTCATTTAGAGCCAATTGAATGTTTTTCTTGGGTTTGAAGTAATCGCTTAAAACAGTTTTGGTGTGTATGGGCTACCTTTCTCAACTTTGTAATCAAATGTAGGATAGTGTGGTAGAATTTCCATCGGAGCACGTGGTTTCACAATAAGTGTTTCAATCGCAACTATTGATTTCAAAATGACTGCTGAAGACATGGAAAGTTTGTATAATGTTGTATGAGTTCATTTCTTCGTCGCCAGTGTGGTATTCCAGTAAATATTGTAGCATACAATAATTACAAATTCAACAAAACGTGGTTTACTGCTCTATCAATTTGGCGTGATTTCTACAACACTGCCCTGTGTCCGATAACTCTATTTCTGGATTCTGAACACTGAATAGAGCACCACTGGTTGTTACTCATAAACAGAAGTCAAACTGGAATGTCGCAGATCTCCCCTTCACTCAGTACTTCAACATGACAGATTATCTATCAGCAACCACCCCATTTTGAATAGACTCATGAGGTCTTTTCTTTTGGAAGACGTTTGCACTCCTTGAATTTTCGCAAAACATAAATTATCGGTGGTTCTTTTTCCGTTCTCCTCACATAACCTTTTGCACCCATTGCAAAGGCTACTTTGCTACACAAGGAAAGGAAAACGGCTTTCCTCATAGCTATGGCAACTGGAGCCAGAGTTTCTGAACTACCACTCTAGATTATTCAAGCCTTACCAACGAGAAGGATTAGAAATCTATCATATTATGGGCTCTCTCTTACCCTTATCAGATCAGCCAGAAAGGACGCTATATCTCATGCAAGACCCATCCTGACCGGGACATCACTCGGGCCACTATTGTGAACTGGCTTAAGCCAACCTTAACCTCAACCTATCGCCAAGCACAAGATACCCCTCCTATCCTGGGATCATGTTCAGCACATGACATTAGGGCTCTGGCAACCAGTTTAGCATCATGGACTTCTGTTTCTGTAGAGCAGGTCATTGCAGGATGCCAGTGGAGTTTGCACAATACCTTCACTCACTTTTACCTGAGAGATGTGCAACCAGACCTTAAAGGGATGCAGTAAACAATGTTTATAATGAAAACACTTATAACGAACTGACGGATACAACAAATTGGTCTTTTTAGTCCCATCCATTTACTGTATATACGTTGCATATATGTTAAAAACGAACGACCCTTATAATGAACTAAAATAAGCGGTCCCTTTGAGTTCATTATAACCGTAGTTTACTGTATATTCATTTGGCCCTGTTATTGCCACTCAGGCTATAGTTAAGGCACATTTTTTCCCTCCTTCTATGGAAGAAATAGGGGTGGGTGGAGGATTTTACAAGCAGCTACTGAAGGTGAATATACCTTTTATTTTTTAGCTATAGAAGGACTCATTTTACATGCTTTTACATGTATCACAGAGTGACTGGAAGTGATGTCACAACCGGAAGTTATGTCATGGGGCGGAGTGGGCAAGCAGTCAAAAGTGCCTGGTGCTGAGATCGTTTCCTGCTAGTGACCGGGTTGTTATTCAGCCTTGGAACCAACAATGTTTACATGTCTTTAGAGTGTTGTCACTTCCCCTTGCATAGACCCTGTGCACTCAAAAGAACCCACTCATCCAGTTGTAGATGACCAGATGGAGGAAATACTAATATGTTTTGTTCGTTTGTTTGTTGTTTAACATAGCACTCCGCAATATTTCAGCTATATGACTGCTGTCTGTAAATAATCAAGTCTGGACAAGGCAATCCAGTGATTGACATCATGAGCATAGATCCACACAATTTGGATACAATGACATGCATCAACCAAGTCAGCAAGCCTGACTACCCGATCCTGTTAGTCGCCTCTTATGACAAGCATGGTCGCCATTTACGGCAAGCATGGGATACTGAAGACCCATTCTTCCCCAGATCTTCACGGGTCACATGAATATGTACATGCACCTGAAACAAAAGTGTCAAAACTTGTGGTGTCACCCTGAGCAAGTGACTTAGTTCAAATGTGTCTCTGTTCACCCAGCAAGGAATGGCTACCCGATGTGTGAGGTGGATGTAAAAACCTTCTAGCGCCCAAAGACAGCTTGGGTTGTATACTCCCCATGGAGTTGAGAATAATATAATTGGAGCAAATAGATCCACTGGTCGGGGAAGAAATAACACTGCATTTTAGCAGATACTAGTAACTGGATACCTGCGGTACATGAATGTATATCTTATATAATATATATATAATAAAAATGACGTAATTTGATACAGAAGTGACTTCATATATGATGTTATATGGACAGGAGGTAATGTCATAATGATGTCACAAAGACCGGAAGTGACATCATAATGATATGAAGTGAAGCAGAAATATGATTTAAGAAAGGAAATGATAACATTAAGACCAGAAATTATGCCACATCTGGAAAGAATGGATCGGAAGTGACGTCAGAACCAAGAGTGGGGCAGGACATGCTCGTATCATTACTGATTTTCAGTGATCCATTCCTATAATTTTCACTTCTATTTTGCTTTTTGCATTTTGACTATCCACCGGAGTTGACCATTTAAATTAAGTTCACATGTCCAATGGAAAAGGCCTAGTATACTTCCATAACAGGTCCACACCACCAGAGCTGTAGCAGTGACCTTGACACTGGAGCTATAAGTCACTCACTGTCTTTAAATATTTAGAATAATCCATTCATTTGCTTTGCCTTGAGACTAACATAAAATACGGAGGTAGGTTTGCCGATTCAGGGAGGATATAGGACCAAACTGGTTTTAGCTTTAATATCTGTTATGTAAACTGAAGAAAACCTCAAATCTTTGATTTGAATAATTGAATTGAGTCCATATGAACTTGTGCTTCACAGTGGCTGGGGGATGACGCTGATTTAACCAAAATGTCATCACTGAAAAAAGTAGATCAATTTCTGATCAGTATAAATGTGGCATTTGAGAAGAAAATTGCAGGGTAAGTATGATTTATAAAGGCTTCTTATCAATTATGTTAAGTTGTAAGCATTGACATTTTTCACATCTCTTCTGAAACCACAAGACCTGGATTATCTTAGCTGTTGTGTGTCTGCAAATTGTTTGCAAACTTCCAAATGTATTTCAAACATGATCACAATGAAACTGTCTTAGCCTATGACTCGGACCTTCTGCAAATATTATGTTGAAATTGATATGCATCAAGTATATATGGTGAAGTTGGTAAATCTTACAAATGCTTTCAGCTCACAAAGTCCAAGTGAGATTTTGCCACGGCATGTTGTGTGTTGTCTAACTTTCTGGCCACTGTTCTTTAAGTACCTTTTAACTTCTTCTCTAAACTGGCTGAAAGGATAAGTTTGAAGTTACAGTTGTAGGTATTGTGTAAAAACGCCCATTTTTTTGGCTGTTTTAAATGTGATTTTTTTAAAGAAGAATCTTCTTAGAAACCCTGTGGTCTCAGAATCTGAAAAATTGGATATGATCTGGAGCAACACAATGTGATTCAGATTTGTTTGTGGCAGTAGATAAATTAGTAAAAATTCTCCAAAATACCTATGGCATAGAATTAAATACTTTCATTGACAAGGTTATAGAAAGGTATGGAAAATGTATGTTCAGAAACTAAAAGATTCTAATTTGTTCATCGCAGATTAAACAGTAAATTTCTTTTCTTAATAATTAAAAATACAATAAATGTTTTAAGACTATGACAGTGGTAAAGCAGAAACTTTGTGCAGATGAAAGTGGTTTATAATTATCTTTTATGTGTTTTTAACTTTGGCCATGTTGCAAATTTATAACATCTTAATAACGACTTTACCAAATGCATTACTTTACATGATTCTTTCTTTCCATAACACTGTTCTTATAAACATGCTTACGATATTGACTCTTTAGTAGACATTTCTTATAATTGAGGAAATGTTTTTGTTGACCAAATAGGTCATGTGTAAACAGAAGATGTTTTTACATGCTCACAATTTCACAAGAATACTTTTCTTTGTCTATTTTAGAAAAAGGGGTAAATGCAGTTATTGTGAGACTCCTTTTGGTGAGAAGCTGAAAGCACATCTACCATGTGCACACAAAATCTGTCTGAAATGTTTTGCTGACATTAAAGCCAAACGAACCATGAAATGCCCAAACTGCCAGAAGCAAATACCATCGTCTTACAAGCCATGCAATAGCTCAGCTGAACAAAGGTGAGGCAATAGCTGTATTTCTCATGTCCATTTCTTATGTAACATTTTTGGAGATAACTTTCAATATGAGAAATTTCAGGTTTCTCTAAGGAATAATCATCTGCAATTTGTCCATTGTTTGTGATGTTGTGAAAATAAGATATTTTAGAAACTTCTCTACCAAAAGTGTGATACTTTACTTGGGGGCTTGTTACCCTATCATTGTTCTTCAGAGAATAATTATTTTACCTTATCCTGACTCATACTAAACTTGCTTATCTCTTTCTTAGTCCTGAAACATAATGGAAACACTTGTGTAGTGTTCCCAATGAACAGAAAACATCTCTCCCAAAGACACCCCTCTCACATGCAAGCGCACCGGAAACACTTTACCAAGTCTGACTCATCACTCTTTTAAACATTTGGCTTGGATTACCTTTCTAAAAAATTCCTTCATCATATTCAAAGGTTATTTTTCGCTCTTGAATTAAGCTTAGACACCACATTGATGAAGCTGACATCGGATCGTCAGACTACACACTCCCTGCCTGCTGACAAAAAAAATGGGATTCAACATCAAAGATCAAACTTCCCTTTTGCAGACCATCGCTATATGGCTGAAATAATGCCGATGCGACATTAAATCTTAACTCACTCACCCTTTGCAGACCATCCCTGATGTTTCAGCCCAGACTTCATCCATTGGCAGTAGGAGAATCAACTCTCTCCTGAAGGGCATTTCCTTTGATGTCTTCTGACTCTGGCAAGAATCTCCAGTCACTGGCAAAGAAGAACTCCCCTTGTCCTCCTCGAAGACGTCGTCCTCCACAACGGTGCAGACCTTCACAAAGACCCACACCTCCACGAGGTCTAACTTATAGTCCTCCAAGAAGGGGTCCCTGAAGCCTTCCTCGACAAACACCTCCTGGAATGAAGACATCTGTGCACAGTCTTCAATCTCTGCACAGCTTCAGACGTTTGTCCAGCCCCTAGCTTTCACACAGCAACAGACTGCACAGCCTCCTGCATTTGCACAAGAATCTGCCTTTACCCAGCCATCGTTTGCACAGACTTCACTTTTTCCACTGGTCTCTGCATTTGTTTCATGGAACACTGACTTATTTGCCAGTGTTAGTCAACAGGCTCTCCTAGCCATGCAGCAGCAGCCTTTGTGCAAACAACATGAACGGTTACCTTGTTCTTCCATGGCCTCTAACCCCAATGCTTCCTACCTCCTCCAAGACAAGATGTTTGTGAACCTGACTTTGAAGAGGAATCACCTCAGTGATTTTCTATCCATCTGTAAGGATCAAGAGATGTTGATGCGGTTAATCACATTCCAGGTATAGTCCTACCAGTGAATCCAACTTTATCAAGGTAGATGATATCCACATCTTTATCATTCAACCGATCAAGCTAATTTCACAGATAGCCAAGAACCTTGATACCTCTTTTCTTAAGACTACCCAAACCCACGTTTGGCCAACACAAAACTTCAATGCCAAGAAGTTTCCTTTACACTGGATTTCCACCTTCTTCAAGTGCCCGAAGATTGATAAGGACTATTCATTGATGTCTGACTCAAAGAGCAGAGCATACCACGTCTACAATAAGAAGTTAGCACAGCTCGATATGACAGAACGGGAAAGGATGTTCCTATCTGTGATGAACGTGTAGTAGAAACATCCAAAGTTTGCTTCCAATCACGTCAACTAAGTCTCAGCTGGCCTTACACTTCTTTCTCATTGGAGCAAACTCCCAATTTTCTTACCTGTATACCAAGCCTTTATTTACGTCAGACGATGAATTCTTCTTTCAATCTTGGTGGCTGCATCCACAGCATCAAGAAGGAGTTTGTCCAAGATTCTAAGGACCAGATGTTAATCAAGTTGGTCCAAACTATGAACTTGATTTTAAAACAATCAGTTAAGAAGACACAATTTAAGAGTCGTTTTTAAGGTGCTTTAACGGGGTATAGTGGTGTCAAGAGTGGATCCTTTCAGAGACCACAGGACAGACAGCATGATCAAACCAACCAAGGTCGGAGAACAAGGGGATCCTGTTGACCTATTGGGATCTGCCTAGGTTGAAGAGTGGCAAGATATTGGAGAAATTGTGACATTCAGGATGACCCGATCTCCTCGAGCCAGACAATTTCAGGATGATCCATCCATAACTAAAACAAATGATAAAGCAAGATGAGTACCTGGCAAGCATCTATCTCCAAGATGCCTAAATTCACATCCCAATCCAACTAGCCTCAAGGAAATATATTCGTTTCTTGTACAAGAGACAGTCTTGCCCCTTAGAATTTTGATGGCCTCATGGTTATTTACAGGTGTGACCAAACCAATCATGGCCTTCCCGCACAACAAGATGATCTGTTGCGCATTTTGATTGGATGACAGGATTCAAGCTTATCGACGAGCAGAGCTACTCGGATTTCCAACCCATCCCAAGATCTCAAGTTCTTCGGCATCATGTTCCTGAAGGGGCAGAACCTTATACAAGTTCTAGAAGATTGTTGGATAAAGATCCAAAGTAATCTTCCAGCAGCAATTCACAAAAGAATATCGATCAACCAGTGTTAAGTGACTCTAGGTTTACTAACTGCAGCCCAAGCCTTGACAGTATGAGGCAGGTTTCATCTGCACCCCATACAGAGATACTTCAAACCGTCGACTTCCACTGCACCTGAAGAAACATCTCAAAGGGTTGACAATCAAGTTAAAGGTTTGTGGAGGAACCTACTTGAACAAGCAGGAATACAATCAACAAATAGTTATATAGTAATAGCTCTTCCACATCAACCATCTAGAATTTAATGGAGTAACCCAGGCAATATCTCAATGGTCACCACCAATATCTCCAAGAGACGACAAGGTCGGCAACCCTTCTAAGGTTTACATTTCAGCTGTATGAGTTAACAGACAGCAAGCCAGGCACATTCAAGGAGCATCCAATATCCAAGTAGATACCCTGTCCAGTCCATCAGTACTGTGCTAACCAAGTGGATGCTCCATCCAGAAGCATTTCAACTTGCGACTATTGAAGGAGGGCATGGCAGTAAAGGCAGTCTCCTTAGCCCTTCACAGATCCACAAGGAACTTGTATGACTTGTGGAAGACATTTGACCAGTTCGTAATAAAAAAAGGATTCAGAGGAGCAAAAGCTACTTCACCACAAGTGGTGGAATTGTTGTGTCATCTTTGGAGCACAAGAAATCTCAAGGGTTCAACTTATGGCTAACAGCGTAAAACTAACTAAGGTAGTACTACGACATTTTAGTGATTACAGACCACTGGAGGAAGCTGACTTTGAACATCTAACACAAAAGACCTTGTTCCTTCTGGCACTAGCCACAGAAACCAGAATGTCAGAAATCCATGCCCTCAACTTCAGTTGGACCAAGATTTGACAGTGGTGAACACTTGGCCCATCTTGCTCAAGATTTGATTTGATTGTGAAGAACCAGTTGCCAGGACAGCCAGTGCTTTCAGTCCATTCCATGATCAGAGGACACAAAAAATATGTCCCTTTGCCCAGTGAAGGCACTACGCATCTACCTTCAGAAGTTCCAGAATGTAAAGGTTATTGATCCCATTAACGAGAAATGTCTCTTCAGAAGTTTCAAGAACAACAATTTCCATCTGGATGAGGGCAGTCATCCTAAGAGATTACAGGGCAGCAGGTCTGGATCTGCTAATAGCGTCAAAACCCACATGAATTCAGAGAACTAGTGTCGACTCTAGCACAACAGGGAAATTGCTCTACTCCAACCATTATAGAATGAAGTTTTGGAAATAAGACTTTTTTATACCACTTACCCATGAGACTTTGCAACCAAAGATGTCGCTGGTATCCATCAAATTGGACCTTTGGTAGTAGCACAGCAACTAAAGGTGCCCACTAGAAGGAACTAGAGGTAACTCCTCACCCATGTATCACATTGACTTGGAGATATCAGGTTACTGTCCCATAACCACTGACTGAGAGCCCATGTTGTCTGTTTTATGTGTTATTCAGAGCATGAGTAATAAACAACTGTGATAAGATTACATCCTTCTCTTAACACCAAATTTGTTCGTAAAACAAGCCTGAATGATATTCTACACACGCTTTACCAAATCCACAAAACTTACGATTTCTCCTTTGATTTGTCACTGCAGAATCAGATGATGACAACAACAAAACCAAGAAGATATTTTGACTTAATAAAATGGAAGAGAAAAGAAGGAGTGATGAGTCAAACTTGTTCATCGTGTTTTCGGTGTGCTTGTGTGTGGAAAGGGGGCATTTGTGTGTGATGTTTTCTGTTTATTGGGAACACTGCACAAAAGTTTCAACTGTTTCTGGAAAAAGAAAAAGAAAACCAAATTAGTACAAGTCAGGATAAGTATAAATGATCATAAAAAGTTCATTTCTGGCATTAATATGTATTCTCACATCAAACAGACATTTGACAGCCTATTGAAATTAATAACCAGCCACAGATTCCTTAATTGATGGCTCAAGATTTCACTACTTTTAACTCTGCACAGCAGACTGTACAAACAAACAGCAACTATTTCTTAAACATTGAACAATAGTTATCATTGTTAATAATTTTAAGAATATTACCTCTATTACATCTCTTCCATAAATCCTGTATTTTGGCTTCAGTCACACTAACTAAAATGTTCAGATTTTCAACAGACGTCCTCTTCACTGTCATTTACACACATAATTAGTTGTCGCCATGTAGTCTTGTAACTACCCAAGCCATGATGTCATAATGACGGCAATATCACTTTTTTCCCTCATCTCCTACTAGAGATAGATGAATTGGGGAGGTGGGAGGGAGTACTTCCAGTGTAATAGAGGTAGTATTCTTACAATTATTAACAATGATAACTATTGTCGATAATTCTTACGACATCTCTACCTCTATTACAACTCTGGCAGAATATACCAGGGGGACCCAGTGGGATCTGCCTCTAGTAACTCCCTGGGTAATTGACAGCTATCCCCTTTTGGAAACCATTATTTACTGATTCTAATCCTACTTGAGATAAATTTCCTCTGAAATTTCCCTTGAGGACTTGAAAATCAGAAATTTGTCAAGAATCAGTCAAATATGTGATATTCTCACTAGATTTACCATTATATATGCTCATCTTGATTGTAATGATGATGTCATTTTCAATCTATTTTGGCTTAATGACGTCATTTCTTGTTAAATTTGGATTTGTGACCTTAATACTGATGATGATGTCATGATGTCACTTCCGGTTATGACGTCACTTCCGGTATGTCACTTCCCTTCTCTAGGTAATGACGTCTCTCTAGGTCTATTTCTACCAAAAGACATCATTTCCTGATTAGATGAACCCTGTTCTGCTATTTCCTGTGCTGATGTCACGTCCTGTTATAATATCGTTTCCGGCAATGACGTCACGCCGGTCTAATGGAGACAGTTGATATTCAAGTTGCTTCTAATCCATCCTACACCTAATAGACAGAATAACCTGAGGCTGCTGGTGTCGGATCCTGCTCTGATTTCAGCAGGATCCAAGACGTGGCGTAGAATTCTGAGCCTGTGTTTAATTTGTTGCAACTGTAGCTTTTAGCCAGTCTGCTTTAGTAGTCTTGGTGGTGATGTCCTTGTTTGAATTAGTCTTACAAGATAAGAAGAGTCTCCTTCGATGGCATCTATGTGGGTCTGTAGCCGCCAGATAGAACTTGTGGGCGCTGACTGGACAGAAGAGTATGTCTGGGTGATCCACTGTTGGTGCTAATGCAGGAATAGTATATTGTCTATGGCCAAACAGTCCCATCGTGGTAGATTGATTCTTGGCTACAAAGTCTGTGAGCGAGTTATTGAGGTCCAATGTTGATCATGGGTGAGACTACAATAGTCTAAGGCCAGATATTCTGAAACTCTTGCTGCTGTTGCCATGGCTAGGAGGAAAGATGCTTTCCTGGCCTTTTGGAGTAGGGTAGCTTTTGCCATGGGCTCGTAAGGTTCCGTTAACAACGCCGATAGTACCACAGATACATTCCATTTGACAAAGACACAAGGTGTTCGAACATCTTCTGGTAGAAAGGATCTCATTAGTCTATTTAGACTGGGATGGTTTCCGAATGATAATCCATCATGTTGAAGGGCGGATCTATAACTTTCTATCGTCCTGTGTGGGAATTTGTTGACGTAGATGTAGAAAATCTGCTACCATAGGGATGGATATAGCATTAGTTATAATCCCTTGTTGTCTTCTCCACTGGACGAACTTGTCCCATCTGTTGTCACATATAAGGGATGATGAAGGTCGTCACGATCTTGCCACAGCTTCTGAGGCATGCTCAGAGTATGCATTATTTGTGTGATAACTTCCAGGCGGGTAGATGTAGACTGGGTAAATTGTCGTGAAAAATGCTGGACTTGGGTTGTCATAGCAGATCTTGACGAAGAGGTAACTGGATAGGTTCCTTCATTAGTAGTCTTAGTAGTCTGGGGAACCATGCCCTGTTGGGCCATATTGGAGCTATAAGTATTATTACACGATCCGTCTCCTCCACCTTGTGGATGACTTTGTCAAGGAGAGACCATGGTGGGAATGCGTAAGCAAATAGGTTCGTCCAATCCATCGACAGTGCGTCGATCTGGTGGGCTCTTTGGTCGGGAACTGGATTGACATAAACCGGAAGTTGGTTGTTATGGCAGGTGGCAAATAGAACCAGGTATGGTGTGTTCCATAACTTAAAAGATCTGTGGATAAGGGTCTATTCTGTTGCCGCTTTTCTCACCCTGCGAGAAAGGCTGTCGACCAGTAGGTTCAGTTTCCTGGGTATATGTCTCGCTTCCATCCGGCAATTGAAGGAGTCTGCCCCAAAGATATCCCCTGTCAAGCTGGAATCTTACTCCGATGTAGATGATATCTTGAACCGGAGTAGTGTCGGACTTAGTGGGATTGACTAGGAAGCCTAGGTAGGTCATAAGTTGGACCAGGAATATCATGTTCTGATGTAGTTGAGCTTTCTCTTGATCTGCAGCTAGAAAATCATCCAGGTAACCATGGATTTGAACGAGTTGGATGTAAGCAAACTTGATGACTGGTCCTGTAATCCTGGTGAATAGCCAAGAGGCTATTGCTATCCCGAATGGTAGGACTTGAAATTCATAACGTGGGCCATTGATTGCGAAGCGTAGATATTTCCGTGAGGATGGGTGTATCGGGACGTGAAGATAGGCATCTTGTAAATCTAGGCAGATAAGCCAGACTCCTGTCTTCTAAGTCGACCTTTACTTCCATATGGATTCCATCTGGAACTTTGGGGGATGTGCCAGATATGTTTTCTTGAGGGTCTTAAGGTCAATAATCATTCTCATTTCGGTTGTATACTCTTTTGGGACTAAGAGTACCGGAGAATTTAAACCCTTGCTGTTGGTTAGTCTCCAAATGGCTTGCTTCTTTAGTAGCTTCCGGATGGCTAAGTCTGCTGTCGCTAACTTGACTCCCACTAGATGGAATGTGCGTCTGACGGCATGTGTCTTCAGTATAGGGTGTTTTCTGCAGTGTTGCTTGTATCCGTGAGCCATGATGTCTAGAATCCAGTGGTTGGACATAACTTGCTTCCAGTTTTTGGCATATGGCAGAAGGCGCCCTCCTACTGGTCACGGAGTGACCATTATTTTGAAAGACGGTAGGTGTAAATCACTGTCCATAGACATAACCAGGTTGAAAGGGTCTATAACATCGGAGGGGGTGGCAAGGGAGTCAGAATCTGTCTCCACGTCTACCACAGCGATTATATCCTCGTTTCTTGTAGTTTGGCTGACGGAAAGATTCCTGAGAAGATTGTTTGGAATGAATCCTTCCCGGTGAAGACAAACTTCTTCTTAGGAGTTTGTTTGGAAGATAAAGATTCGTAGTCGCAGGGACACTTCTGAGGAAGGGATGGTCCACAGGATTTAGCAGCTAAGTTGTTAGATGAAATTTGGAATCGTTCTTCAGTGTCTTATCTCACTTCATCTTTCACGTGTCCCAACTTTCCGTTGAATGTTGTGGTAGCTGATATAGGTTGTGTAGTTAATTGTCAACCTCTTGGTCTGGTTAGAGACAGCTCTGGATTGGATCTGGGCTAAAAGTTGCTGACGCTGTAGCCATAGGAATTGTGAAGACATTCAGACTTTGGAGGAGAGTAAGTCTTACTGCATCCTGACAATAGTATCAAGAAGGCTATTGATGAGTACAACTTGATCAGTCATGATAGTCATGGGCGTGTAGGGCTGCAACGATACACCTAGGTCACGATATGATACGTATCTCGATACTTACATCACAATTCGATACAATACACATAGTGACAATTATTTGGGTGATGGCAGGGTAAGTGTGTTATCATGTTTGTCGTGCTGCCCGTGTATTTCAACCTTTCGTGACACATGCAACAGCATGTTTCATCTTTGCAGACGTGTTTGATTCCATCTTCAAATGTTACTGGGAACCTGAAATGTTCCCAAACTACTGATTTGTGAGTCCTCGGTGGTTTCTCTGGCAAAGGATGAGCGTCTGCTTTTTTCGACATGTTTGAGGTAGAGACTGCACAGCCAATCAGAAAGCTTGAACTGCTACTGATATACAAAGCTAGCTTAGACGCTGTATTTTCGAAGACGTATGTGTGTGTAGCGAAAATTATATTGTCCCTACGTTTTTATGACTTGGTTTGAATTTGAAATTCATTTCAAACACATTTAAAACTTATCTGTGATAAAAGTTTATTGATAAAAAAACCCGAACATGAAAAATCAAGATACAGCACCTCACAAATTGTGCACCGTATCATATGGTGGGAATCGCGATGCATCAGTGTCCTGGGATATCGTTTCAGCCCGATGTGTCCAGGATTCCGGTATAATTAGTCCCCATGCTGCTTGTGATGGACCTTGAGCAATGGTAGCCGTGCGGTGGCTGTCCTCTTGGTCGGCTGATCGGTTGGTAGGACGGTTGAATAGACGATCACGTCTAGTCTAGCGGCTGACTTGGGAGCTGCCAGTTGATGATTATCATATGGTAAGCCAAGTGGCTGGACGGTGTTATAGCCATAAGTGTCCTAACGGTCAAATGACTGGATGATTGGTCTGTCAGCTGGGTAGCCATGAGTGGCTGGCCCATAGAGTCCATGTGACGACTGTACAGTGTCTTAACAACTGGCTGGCTGGACAGCATGTCGGTCGGCTGGATTGCCATGAAAGGCAGGCCCATGGAGTCCGTGTGATCACCATACGGGGTCTTAATCTGGCTAGTCAGTTGGCTGGATGGCTTGATTGCCATGGACGGCTGGTCCTTGGATTCAGTATGGCTCCCGTTTGATGCACCCAGGGGTAGAGGGAGACAGCATAGCTGACCTCACTAGGAGCACCAAACACCAGCTATACTTATGTGCGTGCTCTTACTCCAGCAGCAATATAATGTATACTTGTATGTCTGTAATTATAGAAAACTATTAGAATAATTTTAGATTAATGTGACTTACTACAAAGTGCTAGATCATTACTACTATTATAGGTGTTGACACACACAGAAAAAAATTATGTTACTGATGTTGCCGCCATTATGACATCATGGCTTGGGTAGTTACGAGACTACCTGTCGACAACTAACTATGTGTGTAATTGACAGTGAAGAGGACGTCTGTTGAAAATCTGAACATTTTAGTTAGTGTGACTGAAGCCAAAATACAGGATTTATGGCAGAGATGTCATAGAGGTAGAGATTTTGTAAGAATTATATTTTGTTTAAGAAAATACTAATGCACTTATTCAAATTGGCAACTTTATGTGTTTCCTCCCATAAACTACAGGGAAGTGTTAGAAGACTATCGTGTCTACCAAAAGTGCTGCAACACTTTCCTCATGGCTGTGGTCTCCAAGCTGTGTTTTGGCCAAGTAGATGCTCCTGAAGATGCTGTGGTGAAGAAAGTCTTCAGCTACATCACCCATGAAACAGGACATGGCAAGACATACACCAAACAGATGTCTGTATTTGAAGATGTGATTGATCAAACACCTGTAGTCAGATCCTTTCTTCTACAACTTCTCATACACAAGAGGTATACATCAATAAGTAGAATATTACAACATGTAGTTTTGAGGGACCTCATAATTGGGTACTTGAACTAGTAATGATAATGAAAAGTCATGTTTTGGCAATGAGACAAATTAAGAACAGGTGAAGAATACACTAAATTTGGAATATGTCATGAAAGTTGTGTGAAAATGAACATAATAGCTACATTTTACACTGTTAAATGAGTACATGTGAAACTGATAATAAATATTTTGGCTCTTCTGTAAGTGATACATAGCTATTTCAGTCATGATTACAGGTTAATACTGTTGGACATATTTTAGATTACATCATGCTTGTAAACGTACATGGATATCATGGATATCATGTACAAAGATTTTTTGTATTACATTATAAGTTGTAGCAAGATCATGAAGGGTACATGGGGTTTTATGCGTCCTGCATTAGATTTTATACCATGAGCAGTAGGCGAGTGGCATTAAACATAACGTGGGATGCATTAACCCCATGTTCACCAAGTTTTTTTCTCATCGACAATTTTTTTATATGACATTGTATTAATGAAAACAAATTCAAATTTGATAGAGAACAGCTGTTCGATTTAGCTGAGGTTAGCTTGTGCTATATCACATGAATTTCGCTGACTCAGTAAAAGCGTGCAGCTTTTTGCATGGAAGTGGGGTATAAGGGATTTATTCTGCCTCTCAGAAATCCATGTGGAGCATGACTTGCTCATGGTGGGGTATAAGAGATTTATTCACCCCTTGAGAAATTTATTACCATCCAAAGCAGGATACATAATATTTTATTAAGATCACATGGACCAATCAGATCTCAGTATTCTGACATGGAGGTGTGATAATGAATTATTTTATCAAGATCATGTGAACCAGTCAGATCTCAGAATACATGACACTTTTTTATGGATAGCAACTTCTTTTTATTCTTTGTACGACGTTTCTGAGCTACTTCTTGCTCCTTCATCAGGTGCTAAGTAAGTGTATTGAGTACTATATATAGATCATGTTGTTTACACAACACAAGGTGGGATGAATGTACAAAGATAACAACATAATGATCATGACAAAGCCAATGACATAGACATAGGGTTAATGTACAAAGACAACAATATAATGACAGATCCGTTTTTCTGATTATTTGGAATTTGTTTTTGTTCTTGTTCTTATCTACAAAACTTGAAATTTCTATTTTTCTCTTGTTATTTCGATTATTTACTCATAATTGTGAGTTTTTTAAATAAACGTAAGGAAATATTGAGGAAATAATCAAAATTAGGAGAAAATAATCTAAGTAATGAGAACGTACTCATAATTTAAAAAAAAAAATTTAAATAACAAGAAAAATATCAAAGTAGCGAGAAAATATTAAAAAATTTGAGTTTGTAAAATAAACTTGAAATAATGATAAAATAATTGAAATTACCAGAAAATAATTGAAGTAATGAGAAAAAACCCTCGAAATAATAAGAAAAAACTTACCGTAATTGAGAAAAAAATCGACATTTTCGAGAAAATAATTGAAATAACAAGAAATTTCGATTTAGGAAAAATAACATTATGCTCCCAAAGTGGCACCATTAGGTTTTCATAGAAAAGTGGTTGAATCATTCATTGCCTTTACTTACAGTGCTTTTGTGTCTGTCAGCATGTGTAACACTCGATGGTCCACTTTTTTGACAGCACACTTTTTTCACTTTTAGTGAAGCCACTGTTCAAGAGCACCTCAAAGATTTCTTCCTCCATGCAAAAAAACTGTGTCAACAGGGAGGAGAGGAGATGTCCCAGGATAATATCGATAAACTTGTGCAGTTCAGTCTTCTTGTCATACACTGCTATGAGGTTGGTTACTAGTTGATCAGTTTCATTTAAAATAAATAAGTTGATGAGGTGATGGAATAGTGATTTTATATTGAATGTGTGGGGAAAAACTGAGGTGAAGGGCTGTCATCCAAACATCCATTCCTTTCACCTAAAATGACTTATTTTGGGTACATTGTTATTACAGCATGCATATGTCATATATTGGCCCTTCACTTAAAAGATGAGAGTGTCCCATATGCTCAAATGAACCTGTATGTACTGTATACACCCAAGCTCTTGAAAAAAGGAAAGGGCCATTTTGTAACCACAGTTGACGGGTGTTTATTTTGCATAGTCTTTTTCAGGTAATCCAAGGGACTGACTACCACTAATTACACCTGTTGTTAACTGAACATCAGGTGAATGATGACACACATGTAATGTCATAACAGGGTACATTGATGGCAACATCCATATAACATATAAAGTTATTCTTGCACAATTGGCAGTTTTGTTTCCTTGCAAATAATGATTATGCCTATTTGTCCATCATATGAACTGAACATCATGCATGGTTGCAAAAATAAGACATTTGCAGTATGCAATTTCATAGACAATTATTCATAGACATTTATAGTTGTTTTTATTCAGTATGCATCTGTGAAAAACAACACTAACCATTAAAATATAGGGTTTGATGTTTACGTCCTCACAGGTGGTGTCAAACAGCATCATTCAATACTGAGTTTGGATCAAGATCAACCTCAGTCTGTATCCACACTGTCAGAAATCTGAACTTGTTTTGCCTAAGGCATCTGATTGACTGCCACTAATTATTACTGCTATGATGTTTTCCTTTAGTATTCATAAAAATCATGGAATCACTTGTGCTTTCTATGAATACACCATGTTGTAAGTGCAATTGCTTTGTTTGTATATTTGAATATCACAGGAAATTCATCTGGTCGAGATAAAGAACTTCTCTATTTATCCCCCTGTCTATCTTATCCCATTCTCTCTCAAACAGTCTCTAATATTCCCCTAGTGTTTATGGCTGTATTTCACCAATTTACAAGGTACTACTAGTTCAAGACTTCAAAGGAAAATGGGCACAGACTGTTGATAATTTACAGCTATCATGCTTCTGTTTGACCAGGACCTGTCTCACGAACAAGCAGCCAGTCTATGTAACTCAGATGAAGAAATGAGGATTGCAAGGCTCCATCTTGCTGAAGCCAGACAGTACATTATGGTCAAAGAACTTGACATAGGGAAGATGTTTACTGTTGCCAAATGCCGTTATGGTCTGTCAGTTGCTGCCAAGTACCTACATGGAGTGCTAGCTCAGAAGAGTCTGCACAAGACTAAGCAGTTCAACCAACTGATCCAAGAAGTCAAAGATCTGTTGGATGTTGAGGATACTGATTGGCCCAAGTAAGTTAAGTTGCTTCTAATAATTGATAATCACTGGTTTTAGGCCAAGACAGAATTAGCTTTTATGTTCTTCTTATTAACTTCTGTTTTTTATTTGTTTTTATAAAGTAAATCATAATAATGTTAATTCAGTTTGGACTAAACTATCATATCTTATAAATGCAAATTAATAATTGATGAAAAGCAAAATTGAAGAAAACACTTATGTTTCTTTTCAGAAAATTTCTTGTGAAGCAGATTTGTAAAGATTTTGGGACTGACAGTTATCAGGCAATTTGTGCATCCGCTGAATGGCTAGCCCTGGACTCAACAAATGAGGTGAGGAACTGAACATCTAATATGTTTTCTCTCTCTTAATCTGTCTCTCTGTGAGACAGGTGGAGGCAGAATACTATTTCAGTAACTGGTTGAACACACAATTGCTTGAAAAGGTCTGAAAGGAGAGTTTTGAAGAGACTGCAGATGTAATCCTTCTTGTTTTGATAGTCTTGACATGATATTTGTTTTCTAATCGAGTCATATAGATATTATGAAATGGAGGAAATGTTTCTACCATACTCTTGCAAATTTGCACATATAACAGTATGAAATAATGTATCTATTATGAAAAGATAGATGTGACCAACTGGTTTGCCACACATGTTTTTGCCACAGGTTGCAGCATGTCCAGATCGATATGTAGTGTGTCCAATTAGCTATCAGAAACTGAGAGAAGCTGTTGCCAAAACTCTCCTCGGACAAAACATAAAGCACCTGAAGTCATTGATGAAGGTATGTAATGATTTAACTTTCATGGGTAACCAAGAAACCAGAATGGCTGATGTTTGTCCATCTGTAGATTGATGATCTGCTGAAGTGGTTTTCAGTTGTAAAACATTCAATCACATCAAAATCAGATCTTAGTGCTCACTACCGCTAAACGAGGATCTGAGGACATCCCATTATAGGTCACATACGACATTTCGCAAACTTTGACCGACCAATGAAATGACAACAAGAAGTCAACATTAGCTAGACAGAGAGCAGCTTTCTCAAGCATTATGGCACATGTATCAAACTGGTACCGGTAACTTCCATTCTAGACTATGCTTTTTATCATCATTTGACAAAGTTCTCGTTTCAAAATATGAAAACTGAAGAAAATAATATTCTGGAATGTCTAATTGATGGCCAAGATTGTATGGTAGTACTTTTCCATGTGCTATGGAAAGTCTCTTCTGTGTCAAATGTTTATCCCACTAAAGCGAGAGACAGTTGATGATTTGGACGAAATCAGTCATACAACCTGTAAATCAGAATACCCTGTGTTAACCTTTTGAGGCTGCATGATTAGAAAATACATTCCGTCAAATCTCACACCCTGAAGTCATGGCCCCTGAAGAAAACATTCATTTTGAGAAACATTTACTGTGGGTCAATGAAATATGGTATGTGTGTCATCCATTAGGCAGGACATGATCTCAAGGTCATTTATGATCAAGACCACTGTGGAGTACCGGTAGGTTTGCCATTTCCACTTAAATACATATCCGGTAGATGCATGCAATGGTTATATGATTTGAATACTTGTGTATGACAAGTGATGACAATGTTATGATAACAGTAGTATCTGCTATATAGTCCATGGGAATGTTCTTGAAATACTTTCCATTTGTATTGAGTTCAAAATCACTCTCCTTTGGGTGGGGCATAGGAATGGTAAGGTTTAGAGGGACACTAATTAAAAGGTCACTTGAATGGTCATTCATAAGGTAGTTTTAGTTTTACTTTTTGTGTACTGAATAATCCCCTGTGTTGGTATGATATGTTTGTAAGAGCTAAGTTTTTGTTATGATTGCTAGAGGTTGATAGAGTGTCTGGTTCAAGGTTGTAGTATGTATGTATTTCCCAAAACTGAAGGTAATGGTTATCATAGTAGACATGAATGATTGCTGGGGTCTTGAAATAGAAGTGAATGTTTTGCAAAACCATATTTAGTTGAGTATTGGGCATACAGATTAGTTGCTTATGGTATGAGAAATATACACGGGCAGACATATTAAGTGTAAACTTTGGCCCATGTTACTTATCCATTACTATGACTTTTTTCCTTTACATGTTCACACAAATCTATTTCACATACAGCCTGAAACTTCAGGTGTCTAACATTTGCTCACCAAAACATCCAATCCAAGTTTGATGTAGCATTCATGAGGAAAATCTTATGTACATCTTTTTCTCTTTCTTTTTCAGCAGAATGATGAAATGCTGTTCCTCCTGGCACTACACAGAGAAATCACCATGAAAAACATTGCCCCCAGTAGTGAAGCTCAATTGCTGGTACACTGTAGTGACTTGTTAATCGTGTTAGCCACTTGAACCTTGTCTTTATTTGATAATTACCCTACTACTCCTAATACCTGTAACAAGAGATTATTTACTTGTTTTTATGTGAAGCCAAATCCTGTTCATTATGATAGTTATATGATGAACTTTGGAAACTAATATAAGGCAAGTAATTTGTAATTGTAACATTAGAGTGATTTTATGAAAAGTGACACCATAATTGCCATACATGCCACTAGCCTACTTGATTCTTTACAAGGCAGCAGCTAACCAAATAGAATGTTAGAAATTTCAATAAATTCTACTTTGAATCATACTTGTGTGAATAAAATTGCCAGTGCGTTAATCACTAAAAAGCTACTTGAAAGCATGATTCTTTACAAGGCAGCAGCTAACCAAATAGAATGTTAGAAATTTCAATAAATACTACTTTGAATCATACTTGTGTGAATAAAATTGCCAGTGCGTTAATCACTAAAAAGCTACTTGAAAGCATCATATGTTGTGTTTAATAGCAAAAGTCATCTCAATGCATTGAAGCACTCATACAGAATGCCAAGGACAACATGAAAGGAAAAGTAAGTTATGTACATATTCTTTGGATAATTACAGTAACTCATACCTATGTGAAACTTTTCAATATATACACATAAAAAAAAAGTTAAGCACCCTAATATAATGTATGATAATAAACAACCATATGCTTAATAATTCTTACGGAACTTCTACCTCTATTACATATATGCCATAAATCCTGTATCCTGTATCACACTAACTAAATTTAGATTTTCAACAGTTGTCGCCAAGTAGTCTCGTAACTACCCAAGCCATGATGTCACAATGGCGGCAACATCACTTGTTTCCTGTGTGTTCTACAGTTAACACCTACTATAAGAGTAGTAACAATCTGGCACTTTGTAGTAAGTCACATTAACCTAAGATTATTCTAATAGTTTTATATAATTACAGACATAATTATACATTATATTGCTTCTGGAGTAAGAGCATGCATGTAAGTATAGCTGGTGTTTGGTGCTCTTTGTGAGGTCAGCTATGCTGTCTCCTTTTACCTATAATAACAGACATATAAAAATAAATATAAAAATAAAAATTAAGTGCTGCTGGAGAGACAAACAAGCACATAAGTATAGCTGGTGTTTGTGAGGTCGCCATGCAGGCGAGAGGCGGCAAAGCCAAAAGTTATATTAACTGATAAATTAGTTTCTACTCCACCGCCTCCCTCTCCAGCCAATCCACCATCTCCTGCACTCACCATGAGTCTTATTCGCCAACTACTAAAAGTACAGCCGGAGATGGTGAAGGACATGTTTGAGACTAAGCTGTCTGAGATGGACAATAAAAATTAAGATCATGATGGTAGCTCTGGCAAAGACTACCAGATCTTCGTCCACGGGCATAGGCCAATCCACACATCAACAAGTTGAGCCGCACGGCCAGTCCATGGACCAGCCATCAAGCCAGCCAGCTGGCCAGGACCAGCCGGGTATAAGCCAGCAGGCTTTCACCACCCAGAGAACAATACCGTATGGATGCCCCATGGTATCAATGGACAGGCCGTCCAATGCAACCAAGCCAGCCAGACACCTTCCATGACAATCCAGCCGACTGATAAGCGGTCGAGCCAGTCAGCCATGCAGAAACACAGCCAACCAGCCAGCCAGCTGTGAGGACAGCCATGGCATGGTTACCGTTAACCAGGGACTACAAGCCACACAGACAGTTTATATCGGAATCATGGTCCCCGGAGGATGAACCTAGATGCCAGAATATGGGAGATGTCATGCGCCTACCCCATCTCATCATATTCATCAGATATTACCTTGGCCAGTTATGCTGGCTAGGTTGTTGATGGAAAACATTCACAGGCTCAAGCATATGAACGACCACCTGTTCCACCTATGAAACGGAAGTTATACAAGATGCACAATGCTACACTTCAAGAATTCCCAACTTTGGATGAAATCTTTTTCAAGTTGATCCGCAATCCTGACATGAATGTTATGTTATTTGCATCACGTTTCAAGAATCTGACATTGGTCTCCAGATACTCTATGGAGCATATATAACGTGGTTCTTCGCCGGAATCAGTAACATCATACCGCCTTTACAACCATCCTATGAAGGAATTGTACCGGAAACACCCATGACTATTAAGACCGATCAAGTTGGACTGATCCATAGTCTCCTTGACTCGATTGTCAAGATGCAGGAAGATTACTCTCATCCCAAGTCTGGACTTCTGCACAGTTACTGAGGCTACAACGACAACAGCTCTTAGCCCAGATTAGATCATAAGCCGTATCTAACCAAACCAAAACGTTCGTGACGTTGCAGTCTATATCAGTGACCACAACTTTCAAATGTAAGCTAAGACATATCATAGATGAAGTGAAACAAGACACAGCAGAATGTTTCCAAACTTCAACTATAGATCTAGCGATGAGGGCTCATGAATCATCACATTCACATAAGCGACCCTGGGATCATAAGTCATCTATAGTCATCAAACAGGCTCCTATGAAGAAGTTTGTCCCCTCTGGGAAGAATTTATTCCAACCGAAGCGGATGTACGACAAACAACAGTCTTCGCAGGATTCTTTTCTCCAACCAGACTACAAGAAACAGGGATATAATCACCGTGGAAGATTGGGAGGCAGAGGGGAACAAAAGTTCTGACTTCCTTACCTCCCCCTCCGACATTATAGACCCTTTCGTCCTGGTTACGCCTTTGGATTGAGATTCTCGCCTATTGTCCTTCAACCTAACGCCAACTCTGGGCCCAGTGGGAGGGCGCCTTCTGTCATAGGTCAACTTGTCAGCTGGAAGCAAGTTATGCCCGACCACTGGATTCTAGACATCGTGGCTCAGTTACAAGCTACACTTCAGGAAACATCCGAGCCTGACCACACACGTTGTGGGCCGAAGATTTCATGTGACAGGAGCCAAGTTATTAGCTGCAGAATTGGCAGTCAGGACACTACTAATGAAGCGAGCCATTCGGGAACTAAAGGAAACCAACAACACCAGTCTTTTTAGTCCAGGCGAAGAATACAACCGAAATGAAGATGTTCATGGATCTAAAGACCTCAACAAGAGATATCTGGTGCCACGGCCAAAATTCCAGATGGAGTCCATACGGAAGTTACGGTCGATGTTGAAGAAAGGAGACTTGCTTATCAGCCTAGTTCTGATAGATGCGTACCTTCACGTCCTTATACACCCATCATCTCGGAAATATCTAAGCTTCGCAATCAATGGCCGACGCTACAAATTCCAAGTCCCACCATTCGGGGTAGCAATAGCACCTGGACTATTCACCAGGATTACAGCGCCCGTCATCAAGTTTGCCCATCTCCAGCTAGTTCGAATCCATGGTTATCTGGACGACTTCTAAGCGGCAGACCAAGAAAAAAGATCAGCCACATCAGAACATGATATTCTAGGTCCAACTTATGACATACCTAGGATTCCTAGTCAACCCAGCCAAGTCAGAGATCACTCCGGTTCAAGACATTATGTACATCGGAGCAAGATTCCAGCTGGACAGGAGATATCTATGTCCACCATAGGATTAATTCAATAAGACTATAAAGATGATTCAATTACTTTCAAGTCAACCCAGCAAGTTGCTGAGGTGGTGGATGTCTCTGCTAGGCAACTTCACATCTCTACAGGATATGACCTTCAGAGGGAGGCTGATGCCTCTACGTCCTCTACAGACATGGGTCAACTCTATACGATTGAACGGCCTAGGATTCAAGACTCAGTTACCTCCCAGATAACTACGAGACCTCCATTGGTGGAATCACAGAGAACATGTGATGAGTGGCATCCCTCTGACTTATCCGACGATAGAACATCATCTATTCACAGACGTGTCAGATTCGGGATGGGGAGCCCCTATGAACAATCTCACAGTACAGGGATCGTGGAACACAGAAGAGAAGAACATTGATTGTTTGCCTTGACAGACTCCTTCAATTGCTGGATGGAAACGAGACATATACCCGGGAAACTGAACAAACTGGCAGTCTTTCTTGTCAGGGGAGAATAGTGGCAACAGAATAGACATTACATCCACAGATCTTCAACTGGATAACCAAGATATGGGACATACCACACAGAGATCTTTTCGCCAGAACAACCATCCTCCTGTTCATGTGAGCCCAGTTCCCGACCAAAGAGCCCACCAGATCGACGTTATCTCGATGGATTGGGCGAATTTATTCAGCTTCGCATCCCCACCATAGTCTCTCCTAGAAAAGCCATCCACAGGGTAGAGGAGACAGATTGTGTAATAATACTAATAGCTTCAATATGGCCCAGCAGGGCATGGTTCCCCAGACTACTTAAGTTACTAATTGAGGAACCCATACAGTTACCACTTCGACGAGATCTGCTACAATAGCCCAAGTCCAGCAGATTCCACGAAAATCTACCCAGCCTACATCTAACCGCCTTGAAATTATCATGCAGAAGATGCAGACATCCAGGTACTCTGAGCTTGCCTCAGAAGCTGTGGCAAGTTCGTGGCGACCTTCATCCTCCCTTTTATATGACAACAGATGGGACAAGTTTGTCCAGTAGAGAAGACGACTAGGGATTTTTGATAATGCTATATCAATTCCTATGGTTGAGGATTTTCTACTTCATCTATGTCAAGAAAATAAATTCCAACACAGGACGATAGAAGGTTACAGATCCGCCCTTCATTCTGTACTTCAACATGATGGATTATCAATCAGAAACCAACCCATTCTAAACAGACTAATGAGATCCTTTCTACTAGAAGATATTAAGACTCCTCATAACTTCTCCAAGTGGAATCTATCTGTGGTACTATCGGCACAATTAACGGAACCTAACGAACCCATGACGATTGTAACGCTACTTCAAAAAGCCAGGAAAACATCGTTTCTTCTAGCTTTCTTTTCTCATGGCTACAGCAGCAAGAGTTTCGGAGCTACATATCTTAGACTATTCTAGTCTTACCCATGATCAACATAGGACCTCATTAACTCTAAGATCACTCCTAGACTTTGTAGCCAAGACTCAATCGACCACAATGGGACTTAGAGGGCATATATTTCCTTGATCCAGTGGTTGCAGCACAAACTATCATCTGCCAATTGTTTCAATAGTGTGTGTGTGTGTGTGTGTGTGTGTGTGTGTGTGTGTCTGTCTGTCTGTCTGTCTGTCTGTCTGTCTGTCTGTCTGTGTAACACCATCAGTATCAGAGGGCAAGTACACTCTTGTTCATTAGGTGTAGGATGGATTAGAAGCACCTGTAATGTCAACTATCACCATTAACTAAAAGCACCAAAAATAGCCGAACAAAGTCCTAACTGGGAAATGATGTCTTTGGGGTAGAAATATACCTTGAGAGAGGTCATTACCAAAAGGGGAAGTGACATACCGGAAGTGGCGTGAGAACCAGAAGTGACATCAAAACCAGAAGTATTGTAATCGCATTAAAAGTCACAAATCCAGGTGTATTATGATCAAGATCAGCAAATATAATCTAGTGAAAATATCAGAAATTTTACTGATTCTTGACACAGTTTTCTGATTTTCAAGGATTAGAATCAGTAAATAATGGTTTCCAGAAGAGGATTGCTGTCATTTACATAGGGAGTTACTAGAGGCAGATCCCACCAGGATCCCTCTGGTATATTCTGCCTGAGATGTAATAGAGGTAGAAGTTTCATAAGAATTATCTAACAATAGTTATTATCATTGTTAATAATTCTAAGAATACTACCTCTGTTACATCGGAATTACTGAGGGCCCTCCCACCTCCCCAATTCATCAACCTCTTGTCGTAGATGAGGGAAAAAGGTGATTGCCGCCATTATGACGTCATGGCTTGGGTAGTTACGAGACATCATGGCGACAACTAATTGTGTGATTGACACTGAAGACGACTTCTGTCGAAAATTTTAGTTAGTGGCAGAGATGTAATAGAGGTAGTAATCCTTGAATTATTAACAATGGTAACTATTGTTCGATATTTTACTTTGTATTTATATGAATGTTCAGCTAGGTGAGCTACAGTGCTGTGTTGCTATTTTTTAGGAACTTGCACTAAAACTGATAAAGAATAAGTTTGGTGGACCTGTTTCTTTCCTCAACATCACAGAAGGACAGTGTGTCCGAGACCAGAGTCTGGTGTGTCTGCTGCTGCATACATACCTCGTCCTAACACACTTCAACAACAAGCCAGGCTTCCTTAAACCTCTCTCTGACCTCATACTGCATCCTGAAAACATGAAAGTAAGGTTATATACATGTACCTGTTATACATGAATGTCAATTTATTGTTTTGAGAGACCTGGAGAAGATTTTGACTTTTGGCATTTAATTAGACTAGATACAAAATGATATTACAGTAAGTACAGGTACTGAGACATGTTGGACTGCAGCAAACCTTTATTGCTTCCTTTATTATTTCCCGTAGGACAAATTGTTTCCAACAATGCCCCAAGATGACACAGATTCCATACGGGAGATATTGTTAAAATCGCTGAGGAATACCGACACCACAGTTGTGGTCTACAGTGAGTTTGATTCTTTGCTTGAAATGAACTGTATTCCTGTGTTAGTAGTGTTTCATAATACATGTATGATTGTTTTCTGTCCTTGTATATGCTTCACTATTAATCTTGAGGGAATTTTACAATGTGTTTGTTTCTTCTTTACTATATTAAGAGAATGCAATTTAAGATGTGCAACCATGTGCAAACAAATATTGACATATTTTAATCAAATTAAAATATCCAGAGTTTTTTCTGTCAGGAAATATCATGAACCTGGGACCTCTGTCACAGGTCAGACAAATGTGTGGAATCACCACATCATACACAATTTATAACACAATAACATATAATTAATTGCTCATTTTATATTCAAGGATTCTCAAATTTACATAACTATTCAAGTAATTAATTACATTGAGAATTATGTTTGTGTGGAGGGTGCAACTTCAACACATATTTAAGGATTTGCACCAAAATACCTTTATAGACATGTCATAAGTTCACACATGTAATGTAATGTAAAGATTTGGTGATCAAGCATATCAGATAGTACTAATGTGGTCAAGGTCACATGATAAGGACTATTCATAATCTGGCCTAGAATTTGTTTCTGGAATAAAACTGATAAATACTGAATGATGTAAGTGACATAAAAATGTGTTTTTGGAAAACATCATTTGTTTTTCTTCAGATACATACTACATATAACATTTTCAGGTGAGCAGTTAGAATAGTATCAATTTTGAAAGTATGAAAAAAATGAAATTCAATTTTCTTTTGTATAGCCTGCCCCAATGGACATCCTTATGTCATAACAGAGGTAAGTGTACTGAAAACTGATGAATAGAACTTGCACTTTATTTCTTTCATACATATGTGATTTCATTATTTAGCTCACATATCAATAGAGTTTATACATCAGTGAACAGACTTTGTGACTTAGTTGATTGTATGCCATATACCTTGTTGACATGACATATTGATTATGCTATTAACTTAAGGTCACTGTGATATAAAACCATCCACATGTCCACTGCAATTACAAGTAAAATTTCTCCACCACACAGTTAGAATATTTAAAATTTCTTCCTTTAATGCCATATTATCAATCTTTCATTTGGCCAAATACCGAAAATACATCACTTCATTATATCCAGGAATGCCAGTTCATGCTCCAGTGATGAGGCAAGTTGGTTTGGTTGAATTCATGATATTGAGCCCTGACATTTCTCATATTTCTAGTTAATGGTTTACTTGGTCAAAGGTGCAGCTGGAAATAAAAACATTCACTCACTTACAAAAACAAGATGTAACTATTGTCTTACTGTTATATCTTGAGATATAAAAATGTAATTAGTATGTTTTGTCTAGAACTCATTGTTTTAGTGTAAAATACTATATATACTTTGAAAAAGAAGCATAACCAGGTGTAGGAAGTAACACACGTTCACCGCACAACTGAACACTTGATGAGTGATTTCATATTGCAAACATGACAACAGCAGACACCTATCCACAATTAAGACATTACAAGGTCAAAATCATGAGAACTCGTTATTTTATGTGTAACTTCTCACTGATTTCTCGCTCTTCACTTTGACATTCTCAGTGTGGTCAACCTGTTACTGAAGGGCGATGCGATGTATGTAAGGAGATAGTTGGAGGCAGCGAATATAAGGCATTCCAAGGAAACACACTTCATGATGGGTAAGCACAGATCTTATGGATGCCTTTGTGCCAAATTTGTCTACAGAGATTTCTCACGAAAATTAATAACCAGAAAGTAGGTCAAAGGTAATAGACACATCTAAAACTGATTTGAAAATGAACAAATAAGATAACCTACATTGTTTAGTTGTTTTCATGACTAAACATAACATAAGCTTACCTTTATTGGAAATGTCAATAACAGGAATAGTAGTTGTGTGAATGCTTGTGTTGTTTTTCTAAGATATTTTAAAGTGAAAAAAATGCTAATGTCAAATAATTTGGTTCCCAATATGCAATTCCCAAAACACTGCAATAAGTATATATTTTATCTGAGAGAGCCAATTACAATATAGCTAACAGTAAATTGTATGACTAATTTATTTCTGCAACAGTCAGAGACGCATTATCATTGTTAGTAGTAGTAGTATTAAAGTTTGATATACATAAATACAAACAACTAGGTGATTGATGGTGTACTATATAAAAAATTCCATTTCTAATAAAATCATCAGCGTTCGCTTGTCACCTGCCGAAAACCTGGGTTTGATTCCCAACATAGGTACAATGTGTGAAGCCCATTTCTGGTGTCCCCCAACGTGATATTGCTGGAATATTGCTAAAAGCGGCATAAAACCATACTCACTCACTATATTATCATAGAGAGCATGTATCGATCAAATTGAACATGAGCTTGTCTATCACAAAGTTAAGAACAATAGTCTGCTAGGCCCTGCATCCACAAAACAATTCTTTAGGGGTATCATATCTATTGTAAGTTATAGGATGGAAGTAACAACAACCAAATCAGCAAAATCCATCGATATTGAGAAAGTCTGACTTGGAAAAGGTTATGGGACTGAGTTAAAGATAATACATACTTACAAACACAAATAGATCTGAACAAATTCATTTGGCAGACATATCATGTGTAATCACATATGTGTTGGTTTAAGAATCTGAATGATAATTATGATGTGTAAAGAACTGTTTATTGAAATATACCATTCAGACAAACAGCTCAGTTTAGCATAAATTCAAAAGGACTTTTTTCTTCTGGTTACAGTTGTAAACCATGTATAATCCATCTTTAGTGTAGAACTTTTACATTTCAACTAAAACAGTAAAGCAATCAAATGTATCTGAAAAACACTGTTTATTACATAACAGCACATTGTAAAGAAATTTTGTGGTTCAGTATGTGAGTGTTTCCTGCTGGTAAAGGCATATCCTGTAACACATATATATTTCATGAACTGAATAGGAGGGACCAGACCCGTACTGGTCATGTTCTGGGAAGAGCAGCAGATAGAACCACCGCCTATGCTGGTGAACGTAGACTGGGAGGAGCTGCCTGTGCTGTTCTGCGTTTCTTCACTCATGCTGCATTACTTCTGGGAGCAGAGAACAACCCACAGGTATGACTATGAGAAAGTCCACTGTTATCAGATGGAATTGTATTTGATAGGGTTTGTGTTCATAAGTATAACTTCAGTATTCACTTATGCAGAGTTCTGATTTATCTTAGACTTTGGATCATGGTATTACTTAAATCAATTCATTCCAATACAGGCAGTAGCAGCTCTGGTCTACCCCCAGCTACAGCAGGATACCAGTCAGTTTTTCTTGGAGCACCTCCAGAAGGACCTTCAGATCATCCATCTGGCCACAGGGAAGAGTGTGGATGATGTCTTCCTCCTCCTACACTTCATCTGTCATCAGATTTCTGAACTAGGTAATAAGTGCATGTACTTAAAAAAAGAATTGTCATCAATTTAATTCACTTCCTTGAAGCTATATAGTGCAGCTACTACTAAGGGTTTAACAATTGTTTATCAGTAGTATATAGATCTAATAAACAGGTTGCAGCAGATTAAGAATACTGCTGCAAGGATAGTGTCCCTCAGTTAGCAGTACGATCACATTACTCCATTACACTCTTATACACTGGCTTCCTGTGTGCTACAGAATCACCTCCAAAATTCACTTCCTTACCTACCAGTGCTTGTTAGGTGATGCTCCACTCCAAGACATACTTAAGATCTGCACACCAGCACATATCTTCAGGTTTGAATCTCACTCCTCTGTGTGCTACAAATAGAGAGTGCCAGCTATAGTCATCACTCCTTTCCTTTGCCACCGCAATCATCTCCCACATGAACTTCGAGTTTCTCCTCCTTTCCAGATCTTTAAGAGCTGATTAAAAACTCACCTTTAAGGTCGCCTTTGTTGACTGAAGTGAATATATTTATTTTTAACAACAAGAAAGAAAAAAATCATAAGACATGACATGGGGGTTACTCTCAGTGGAGTACTAGAAACATGAGACTCACCCGTTTGTGGATCAGTTTTTGAGACGGTGAACATGCCCTACAAACCACTTGCTCAATATGAACACGTTAAACATCCACATAGACATACACACAATACACAAAGGACAAGAACTAGCAAATATATTATCCATCATGCATTACTTTATATGAAGTGTAGAAAACTATGGTGTACATTAAACAAATGATTAACCTGCTAGCAACTCTGATACAAGATATTAATATTTAACTGTTGAATTTTATAAAACAATTAACAAGCTGACATACTTTTATCTCAAACATTATGATAGTAATATGTAAAATGATCAGATGAGTTGAAACAAATTTTTCCTTCTGTGATGACCACTTGGTTAGTAAAATGTAAAATCAAAAGGCTAAACCTAAATAACCAATCAGTATGAATAAACAAAAGTCACATGATAAACAACTTTAACACCGAATCGAGAATGGGCCAAACCAAATAAATTGCATGATATTACAGCGAGAGCCCACCTACCTTAGGAAGGTTGGCCATGTTGACAGAAAGACGCAACAGTGGATTTAATGGCTGAGGGTGTGGATGTTCTAAAGGACAACACCAATTTAGAAATGAAATAAAGGCCTGAATGGAACTACAAAGCCTGGCCAAATTTAGCTATGTGGCGACTTGTGTCGCCAAACATAAAGGTCCAAAGGACGGAAAAGTTGCTACCTGACCAAAACTGTGGGTCTAAATGGGAGTGAACGCTGCTAGGCCCACCTATGTGGCAAATTGTGTTTCCAAATTTAATTCTTTAATTCCTGAGTGAAAAGCCGGGAAAGACTGGATTCCAACTGGTAAGAAGGTAACCCAGTCTGTGTTCCCACTGGAAAGCAGGTAACTGGAAACCCTAAATTATTAGTATATGTGTTAATATGAATTATGATGATATAGGAGGTAGCCCAGAAGAACAGCACCACTGCATGACATGTTTTGTTCACATTGATAAGATATGTACAATATTCTAGAGAGATAGATATGTACAATTTGATGTGTCTGGTAACTATGTTGGACAATAAAAGGTGATGTACAATGGAAATGAGATGGATGAAGGCAAACTGTGTGGTTGGGTGGGAAAGCGATAGTGCGATATCGATATGAGATGCGATGGAAGGCTGTCGCAAAAGTGATGAGTAGAGATAGTGACCTAAATCAAGAAGCAATGATGACGTCACAACGAGATGATTATGTAGCTTCTGAGGAAATGTGCATGCAATTACGCAAAGGATATAGGTGAAATTGTAAACATAAGAATGATATCTGCACATAGTATGACTTTCACGAAGCTAGAGCAAAGATATATTTCAAATACGATAATGTACCACAAAACTGATAATGTTAAATCAGTTTCCAAGGTTAAAATGACATTGAAATGACGTCAAATATTAGAGTTGAAACAATGATGAACTTTGGTGGGGTATAATCATTGGATATTGATTTAATATTGGTTGCATTGATACAGACGGTCTCCTCCCATTAGTAAGACAGCCCAGTTGTGAGACACCTTAAAACAACAATGTCATACCTCGTTGCACATGTCCGGTTTAAAATATTGCTTACCGGACATTTAAATTTTTCTGTCCGGACATTTTAAAAAACAAATGGGGTCCAAATAATTGATGAGCATATTGTATCCCTTCAGCGAATACAGGTGAATAAACAGGTATAACAAACTTGGTCAATAAAAGTATGAAATTTGATGTAAAACATCACTAGACATGATGATTTACCATTTACAATGTATTTCCTGCTCTCGAAGGCATTGTTTTATATGCAGAGATTAAGATTACCGTGTGTATTTTCTTGTAAACTAAGCCGGAAATAGCAATCAGCTGTGCACACGTTTCCTCCCAATCTACCGGTGATTCAGTTAAAATGTACCCAATGATACAAATGATTTTCAAATATTGAAAGGCAAATGTTGAAGCAGTGCTGATACAATGTCTGAGAACATAGCAACCTCAGATCAACCAAATTTAAACTTTGAAGCAATGTCATGTGCCTGTTTGGAAGTATCGGTAATACATTTTATACATACTGATATGTAAATTCCGTTTCGATTTTTAGTATAATTTACTTAAATACAAAATACTCCTTGTTTAAAGATGTATGTGAATATATAACAATTAACTGTACCTAAGAAATGGCGGATGTATTGATTGTTTACATGTTTAATGATGCAAGGGAAATCTACATTGTTGGTTGGTAAAGGTAGCCTTCACACTGTTGCAGTATTTCTGCAATGATGTTTTGAAATATCTTAATATTATTTTAAATGGTTTCTAACTATTTGCAATTGGTAAAAGATCCCCAATAGTAACCCAGAGATAGTTCCTTATGCAGTCTGGAGCTGGTTGTAGAACTTGTCCTTTGCCTCCTGCAGAGCAGAGGGTAGGGGCATACATGCTGATGAGGTTGACCAGAGTCGGAGGGTCGGAAGTCTCTCTGTTCCATTCTCATGAGACTGAGCAGTGCTCATTCTGAGAGGTTTTGCTGTCAAGAACTCACTGCTGTTCACTGTTCAGTCTCTCTGTTCCATTCTCATGAGACTGAGCAGTGCTCATTCTGAGCAGTGAGTTCTTGACAGCAAAACCTCTCACACATTCTCTTTTGGAAGGCCAGTTCAATCCTTTGGTATCTGCTATGTTGTTGCATGAGAACAAGAAACAGCTTTCCAATTAACTTTGGAGACAGCAGCTAGTCCCGAAACTTCATGCTTTCAATTTTGCAGGTCTCTAACAACATCACATGCTGCATGGGTTACAGGTACACGTAAATGATTATGTGCATATTCCTTTTATCCTGTATGGTTCTCGGTAGGAAGTGACAACATAGATGGCTTGTGGTATATACATAAGTTTTTACTATATACAGGTGGATATATACACAAGTGGTGCAATGTGCCAGGTCAACACATAGCGGTAGTGGTTGTTGTGTTAATTGGTGCCTTGGAGCATGTAAAAGCTAGCTTTGAAGAGGGTGAGGCCTTCTTATATTTCATCTCTGGGCCAAGGCTTATTTATCTAATGTAAACTGGATAAGTCATAAATATAAACAACAGTCATAATGAGAAGTGACATAGTTGCACAGCATGGCTGACAGTCAGTGAACAAGACAATGGGATTAGCATTTTGTAAGTGATACTCAATATGTACATCTCTTAATTTGCCTTTGGAATTAAATGTTCATTCAGACAAAGGTTGTCATAATGTGGTCACTATGACATCTCACACATGCAGAAGATTGGAGTTTATAAACCCTCCGAACCTTACCAGAATTTAGTCTCTGGGACAGTAAGGACACAGACAATACATGATTCATGCTCTCAGCAAAGGCCTGGTTCCATCAGATCGACACCTCTGCCCTCTTTGTGTGCTCCAATTCTTCCTAGCAGCTACACAACCATAAAAGCGACACAAAAGATGAATTTTCATTTCATGTAAGAGAGCCCCTGATAAAGATATTACCAAGGCAACAGTCGCTGGATGGCTTAAGACCTCAGGAGGTTATCGACACATGAAATTGATAACTCCAATTTTCGGAACTTATACTCCTTATGAGATCAGAGCTGTCTACCAGCCTTACATCTTGGAATACCGTATTTGTGGAACAATTGGTCACTGGTTGGAGGTCCCATAACACGTTCACTAGCTTTATATTACAAGACATTCAACCAGGTTTACAAGGGATTTATGGCCTCCGCCCAGTGGTGGCAGCCCAGTCTATCATAACACAGTAGCTTTCCCCTCCTTGTAGAAGAAGATGGGTGGGGGGCATTACTTCCTGTAGCAACAGCCTTGGAATGTAGGCTAAGCTATTCAACTGTATTGTGTATACGGTGGAGAGCAGGTAATACGTTAATGGCTAGTATTACACTCATAATTCAAGGATGATGTCAAGGTCACTGAAATAGAAGTCATCAGTATATACAAATAACAATTTACAAGTGTGGTAGATAATATACATTATCTTAAATATTGTGCAAGAAATAGTTTCTTCTTTCATAAGCATGAATAATACCCAAAAGACATAGCGATTTTTTGTGTTCTGTATCGTTTTTGTCAATTATCTTTTTGAATGTATACATATTTATCTTAGTGATATATGTCTTTGGCAAATATTTAATTAGAATAGCATGAAAACAAGAACATACAAATAAAAATTCATATTCATCTCTATACCTTAATCACAGAAAGAAGAGTTTCTCAACTAGTTATGGATAGTTGACAGTGAAGAGGACTTCTGTTGAAAATCTAAAGATTTTAATAATGTGATGACAGCCATAATACAGGATTTCTGTGAATGATTAACAATGATAACTATTGTTTGCTGTTTGAATCAGAGAAAAAATTTCAACCACGCCCAAGTCATAAGGTAGAATTCTTGAAGCTAGTGCTGATTTCAAATTGCATACATGTAAGATATCTAATACACACGTTAGTTGAGAGTGGTAGGGTACTTTAATGTATTTCTTATGAATGAATTGTTGTATTTAGATAAATACAAGAGAAGTGATCCAGCAAATCTAACCAACAAGCCCGCTAGAGAGACCTGGGAAGACCAGTTTGCCAAGACATTTATCAATCAATCAGTGCAGGTACAATTATCACAAATCTTACAAATAACTTGAAGAAGTAAAGCTTGTTCTATGAACTATTTTCAGAATAACCAATGTGCTATGAAGAATTATGGATTATCTGTCCCGAGTTAATGAATGGTGTTTATCCCAAGCCTTTGAGCCTTTAGCATTAAGCATTCCTGAAACGTGCATATGCAAATATCGAAAAGTTATTACACACAATCATTCCCTCCTTACTTATGATTACATTGGATTGTGTATGAGCTTTTGAAAAGGGTTTGGTACTCATTGATGCAGCCTTTCTTATACATATAGGAAAAGGCAATTAGAATAATTTGATTCTGTTTTCAGAATTTGGAAGGCTGTCTTGGAATATGCAACGACAGAATTCGAAAGGACAAAAGGATAGGTAATATCAACAGATTATTTCACACTTTTTCTTCTCATTTTTAGGTCATCTGACTGAAAGTAAAGTGAGCTTATGTTATTCATTGGTTGCACACGCATGAATGCACACACACACACACACACACACACACACACACACACACACACACACACACACACACACACACACAATTTACATGAATAGTTGATGGAGTTTATTGGTTGTTTTACAGTGAATTTGAAATTAAATGTCCCAAGCACTGGAGAGGAAAGTCCCTGATCACAACTGATGTATGTCTTGGATGGCTTTAGTAGTCTGCTGAGAAAACTGACAGTATTGACGTCAATTGATAAAGAAATTGTTATCCATATTATTCCTTGTCAATTGTTGATCCAAATACTAAATGCCTACAAGGACACTCAACGTATGTTGGGTATTTTAAGTTTTGACCTTGATTTGGAACCACACTGAAAGCTGAAACAAGATTCTTATGGAAATTACTCAGACAGTTTGTTTCAAAATGCAATGAAATTTGGCATGTGTTTAGTTAGAAGTTGAGCTCAAAGGGGCTGTATTTGAAATGCTATTTTCTATAATATATTTTCTTGCACTGTTAACATCATCCCCTCAGAAGCCACTGGACCTATGAAGCTTCACATGCTTGTTTCCACCAATGATGACACCTAAAATTGATCAAGAGGTTATAATCCGATTTTCAATATGGCCACCATTGCATACACAATGAAAAATATATTTATGGTCATTATTCAACCATGTATTTTCAAAAAGTAATGAAATTTGGTATATCTGTTGAGTAAAATATGTTTATGATGAACATGCTTATGATGAACCGACGGATATAACAAACTGATTGTTTTGGTTCCGGTCATTTGCTGTATAGATGCTGTATATATGCTCATAACAAATTAAAGTAGGGGTCCATTTGAGTTTATTATATCCATAGTTTACTGTAGCTTGTAGTGTTGATCAACAACTAAAGGTTTGAATTTAATTTTCAATATGGCTGCAACTGTTCATTGTTATTCAACTTCAACAACTTTATCTGCATTTAAAATTTTCTTTACTGGAGAGCAATTTTACATCAAACTTTGAAAATATTTATTAACAAATTCAGCCGACCCTAAAAAAATGAAATGTGGAAAAAAATATCTGATACCATTAGTTATTTAATTTTGCTTAATGTAAACTTACAGGACAAGGTTACCTAACACAACACACATGACAATATATTCTGATCTTCTTGAAAATCAAAAACAATAAACAATGTTTTTTAGTATTCTATGCTCTGCTCACCTGATCGAAAGTAAGGTGACTTTATGTTGTGTGTTGTCTGTCCATCTATTGTTAACCGACATCTCCTCTGAAACTACAAAGACTATCGAGCTAAAACTTTGTATGAAATTAATGATCCAAGCCTTTGAATTGCTCTCTTCTGATTCGATTTTAAACATGGCAGCCATTATTTCTTCATAATTCCGGTGAGTTTCTGTGGCTGTATTTTGTCTCCTAACTACGGACCAGGATTTCCACCAACACATCCCTAAGACAAGAATTAAAAAAAGCTCTTTCAGGGATGATTGGTTAATAATGAAAATGTGTTATTTGTCTATATCATGTGAATAGGATATTACTCAGTATGTATGAATACACAGGTTCCAACAAGCTGATGTCTATTCTGTATGAAGTAGACACTTCCACTCCCCAGCAAGTTGACTGTCTCCATGAGTTCCCAGCTGTCTGGAGGTACCAGTCACGTATCACGTTGGAGCATTTCCTGCGAGAGTTCCATCTGAAAGTAGAGAACAACAAGGGCAAGAAATCCAAGATGGAAGTGCTCAGCCTTTTCAGACAAGAGGTAGGGTGCTGTATATGTCAGGAAGATGGCTTTGTATCATTTTTTTTTTTTTTGTCTAATCAAAGATTAATTGAACTTATCAGCTAACACAATATTAACCGATTTATCATTTAATGGTGCAAATTATACTGATTGTAGCTGTAATTATCATCTTCAGCATTTTGCCAGTAATTTATGTATCATTTGACCTACTAGTTATTGAATTGTCTAGCTTATGAGATGGCAGAACTGCAATTACTGGGTTGTCCACAAATGGAATTTAGCTTTTCAGATAAGTGTCAACATACATGTATGGTGATGTACATGGTGCCTTTTACTAAGTGCCAGACAATAGAAGTAGACACGTGTGTTTGAATGGTGGCTAAAATGAAACAAACAAGAAATGGTTATTTGAAGGTGATGTGTTTGATAAAGGTACTCTATGGGTGTTTTGGACCTCAAGTTTGCAGTATTTCGGAGATTGTTTTAAGCCTATTATTAAACATTGTTGTTGGGTCCAATTTTCAAGTTTATTCTTTGTTTTGTCTGGTTATTTATTTAGAAATTTGGATTAAAAAATGCCCTTTTAAATGGAAAGTAGTCATAATCAATTGAAGTTAGCGTAGATTTCAGAACATTACTCAAAACACTTGCACCTAATGCTATTTTCTTTTGTTAGCTTTTTTTCCCCTTAGATTGAGCAAATCCAGGTTCAAAGCTTGAATGATCTGCGTTTCAGCACCCATTCCTGCAGGCATTGCACCACATCCCTAACATTCTCCGTCTACAACAGCTGCTGATGGCAAAATTCAGACGTCGTCTTGATCGCTCTCAAGCAAATAAGATGACCATTGCAGAGATGTTCTCAAGAGAAGGTTGTGTACTATTGTGTTATTATTTTATGATTTGATCTTTTTTCATGAAAAAGATAACAACACTAAACAAACAAACCCTGACTTACTAACAATCATTATGGAGTCAAGTAAATATATTCAAATTCACATGATTATTGTATGACAGGCCATAAGCCCAAATACAATACAGTACAGGATCATTTTACAAATGTATTCACATGTTTCATTTCAGTAGATTTCTGGTCTTGAAGGCATATTTAAAATATAACATAATAGATGTTAAATCTTGATAATTTGAAGTTGCCAAAAGTCGAATAAATTGTTGGACTGACGGTTGAATTACATATATATTTGGTATGTTTGGCTTTCAAATATCTTTCAAGGATGGACATATAAAAGGGAAATGATACAGATCTTCAATATTGTTTAGATTACAATATGTTCATAATCTTTTAGATTTTTAAATTTTGTGGTAGCAAATGTACACAAGGTCGAATCGATTAAATATTTCTCTTCTTCTTGACATATCTTAAAAAGTACTACATGATAATGTGTTAGTCCATTCTTGGCTGTACATATCTTTCAATCTGGTTTGAAGAAGGTTATTAAAATATCTATACATCCAACATTTTGGACAACCCAAGCATAGCCAAGACATGTACTAAACAGGATAAATTTGACATTACTTGCCCTGTTCTGTAGGCCCACTGAATCAAGATTAGATAACATTTCATATGTCTCATGCGAAAGTCTATTTGATGGAATATGAAGTAGTTTTAGCTAGTATTTAGTGCAGTATCTTCCTTTATTGCTCGTCACGTCGAAGACCCGGGTTAGATTCCCGACATGGGTACAATGTGTGAAGCCCATTTCTGGTGTCCCCTGCCCTGATATTGCTGGAATATTGCTAAAAGCGGCGTAAAATCATACTCACTCACTCATGTAATCAAACTTTTTTTAAATATTTTTTTATAGTCTTTAAAAAGAAGTACCTGTTACATGAAATGTGCTTCCACCCAGGGTAGCAGAAAGACCATGACATATACCACAACTTATCAGTACATCTTAGTTGTTTTTTACAGAAAATTTAAAAAGAAGTACCTGTTACATAAAATACATAACATACTTCTCCAGCATTAGAAATTTGCACTAGTCCTGTAGTACTTGCCAAACTGCCCAATAGTTAAGGTATCATAAGGACTAGTAGACATTTGCCTTTTTGAGGGTTTTTGCTATATGTTATCATAATAAGGACTAGTGGATCAAACCTGTTAGTTTCTACCGCTGCTTCTCACTCACACATTCACTCTAGTAATACAAACATACTGCATATATCAAGTATGCATAAACTATTTAAGTTTATACATCATATTGCAGTGTAGGAAAGTACATGGTCTGAAACAGACTTTCAAAGTCTTAAGTACGAAACTAAGATTAAAATGAAAGCTGCTCCTCATTTTCGAAAGGTTGATGATACAGCATCCAAGCACCATTTTTGTTGATTACCTGTCTTGAAAGCAATATCTTTTTCAATGTTGTATCGTGAAAAAGCTTCCTTTTTATAAACGTGAAAAAAAGTTTTTGTATTTTGGTATTTGCATCTTTTAACATAGAATTTTGCAATGAGTAAAAGTAAATCAAACACTTTATCTGTTTTTATGTTCTCTTTAACTCCAAAAAGTATCAATTCTGCAAAAAATGTCATATTATAAACATAAAAGCACTGGTCTATCCACACTGATACTTCATCCCAAAATTGTTTTATTACATCACATTCCCAAAACAAGTGAGTAATTGTTTCCTTTTCATTGTGACAGAAGGAGCACAAATCATTTTGAGCATAATTGAGTATATACAGAAAAGTATTAGTGATGAGAATCCTGTGGGTAATTTAAAATTTGTATTGAAACCATCGCAGTTTGACATCCTGTGTTATATTGACTATTTTAATACAAATATTGTTCCTATTTAAGATTTCAAATTGTAATTCCCACTTTTCCCACCCTTTAATTTTTACTTCTGTAGAAACCAATGAACAATAAATATGCTTTGAACCGGACTTGGAACTACAAATAGTTTTTACCACACAGCACTGGTCCTCCACAGAATCTGTAGAAACGATAACTAAATTTAGAGTTTTAAGGTATTGTTTAATGCTGCTGACAACACCATAAAATTCTAAATAAGATGAACAAATACCATACATTTCATTAAATTCCTCACATGACAGAAACTCCTTATTGGCCTTGACCAAGTCTATAATTTGGGAGACAACCTTCTCAAACCAGTATTTCAAGAAAAATGATTTCCTATTTATTTTATTATTAGGGTTATGAAAAATGAGTTCAGTTAAAAAACTACTGAAAGATTCTGGCTAGATTTTCTTATCAAGCCGTTTAAATGACTGAAAACACCTTTATCAAAACTCATTACTTATCAAAGATAATTTTCTTTCAAAGAAAGTCACACCAAATTCACCAAATTTACACAAATCAGGATATGTAGATTTAAATAGGCGCTTCTCATTTTTCTATCACCTCAGGAAACAAGTCTCCTTATCCATGTGGCTTTAAGAGATGTTACATATGAAAAAATATTCACCACACCTAAGCCCCCTTGCTTAACCAATTGACAAACTTTAATCCTCTTAACTGTGTCTCATTTATCACTCCAAAGAAATATAAAAAGTAAAGCATTTAAATTAACAAGAAATCGTCCGGGGGATCAGGCAGTAATAACAATAGATAATTGAGTTTTGAAACCAACAAGGATTTAATGATTGCCCCCAATTGGTGTAACTATCCATTTCATCCACATTTCATCCACCATCCAATCTGTTTTAGCTCAAATAATTTGTCTTTAAAGTTACAACCTCTCTTGGAGCCAATCCAGATAAACTGAGTTTTGTTATTGTTAATCTTAAGACCAGATATTTTGGCAAAATACTCAAGAGAGTTAATACATGATAAAAAGGAGGACTGACTACCATCAAGTAATAATTCCATATCGTCAGCATACTGACTAAGAAGATACTCACTACCGCCCACCAGGATACCTTTGACGTCTCTATTATAACGTATCATATTGGCTAGTATTTCTGCACAGTATTTAGGCTTGCCCCCCTTACAGACAATAACCCCTTGTTTCTGGGTAACAGAGAGTTAATCACCTGATTTTAAACCACAATTCAATGATCGCAAGTAAAACTGTCCAATATCTTTCCAGAAGAATTCATAAAATTCAGTGGGAAAGCCATCTGAGCCTGGGTTTTTGTTATTTTGTATATTATTCAAAGCTTTTGCCAGTTCATCAAGAGTTAATAAATATCCATCTCTTTCACATCATTTCTATTTAAAAAGGGGAGAGAATCTCTATCCAACAGGGAATTCAAATCACAGTCTTGCACCATGTGTTCTTTGCTACTGTATAACTTTTCATAGAAATTGACTGCTTCAGCAATAATGTCACTTGAATTTAGCAATGTGGTGCCATCGTTTAACTCCAAATGAATCATAGACTTGGTGACAAAATTCCTGTTCTCAAGGTTACAGAAATAACTGCTAACTCTTTCACCATCCATAATCCACTTAGTTCTAGATTTTATGGCAATTCCAGCCATCTTCTGTTTCCTAATTTCCTCTAATTCTGTTCTTTTATCTTCCAAATCATGAAAATTAATGTCACTAGAAGTTTCAAGAACTTCAATCTGTTGAAGTAATCAAACTATTAGTTTGGTAAATATTCGATTCTCATTGGTCAAACAGAGGTAACAAATCAAAATAGAATCCTCTGATTGAAACAGTCGATTTGACAACCACATCACTCCGGAAGATGATATTAATAGAAAAGTACTATCATATGTGTGAGTGAAGTAAAAAAAAAAATGTTCAAGTACATAAAGTGCATATATTTTAATGTCAGTGCCTTTATTCATACTACAGGGTCACAGTATTTACACATAACCCAGACATTGATTTAAAGATAACCTCTGAAATAATTACATGCAGAAAAATGAGTGAAATACAGCCAATAGCTGTCAGATTGGTAGAATTAAACAATTGTATTAAAGCTTAGAATCAATAGGAATTACAATGTCAACATGGTTTGTAATACAGACAATATTGCTGGTTCACGGGTTTTTAATAGGTAATGATAAAACATAAGTTGTGTAATAATAGCTTAAAATAGCCTTAAATAGCTGTATTTTTTAAATAAAAAAACCGGTACAGTGTACCGGCGATGGTCCTGAGTGAAGAATTAATAAACTGTTCATAACTGTTCACAACTACTGCCACTGTCCTGTGATCTCTCTGACCTTAGGTCACCTCTTCACATCACTGCTTGTCGCGCTACAGCATGGATGTGTACCAGCAGAGCTTTGGTTTGGGATATATTTAGACCTTCAGTTTTCGTCGGGTGACGGGTGATGTATTCTTTTCATATTACTCTCAACATGTTGTGCAGTTGTATATGATATATTTAGACGTCTTTTTTCCCGCCACATGCTGTTTGTTCCAGCCATTTTGAATTGTGTTACAATTGTTTGCCTGCCAGAGGTAGTGAATTTGTTTACAATTCTCAGCTATGTATGTATAAATACTACTAGCTTTGACGTTTCATTGAGTTGGGTATATACAAGTTATTGAATACGCTTTCAACTCATTACAATATTTTGCCGATATATTAAATTAAATTCTACGTCAGTATTCCAGTCCCGCTTCATCAAAAAGTCTTCAATTTGCGTAACTTATGCTTGCGCATTGTATTAATTGTCGTGGGATCTGCTAAAGATCCTCATCCATGTTGTCTGGCATGCATGCAAGTTTGTGCACCAGACTCTAAATGTGTTTTTTGCATAAATCTCTCTCCAATGACTTTTACAACTTATAGGCAGGTCACTCACAAACATATTTTGCAGCAATCCAGCCATAAGACTAGGAAGATGTCACAATCGCTGATTAGCGAGGGACATGGTTCCGTCATTACTATGCAACCATTATCTTCGACGGGTATTATCTCGC